ATATATATATATATATATATATATATATATATGTATATATACAATAATTGCATATATCCTGCATTCTAATGTCATAAAACTTGTCACGTAGAAATGATTACGTTAAAGCAAGGCGGATGTTGTAAGTAGATAAAAAAAAAAGATTACATAAATCCACCGTCTCCTATTTCACGAAACTTCAGTTTAACGACGAAATGATATTTACTACCATAAAGTAACGAGTAAGCGCGTCGATACTTTCTAAGAGATAAAATACCCTCTCTTGGATATATTTTCCGAGAATTAGTATCCGTATCAGTTTTCAGGGAAAAATCGTTCGTTCAATCTGAGATATCGCGCGCTTGTTCTATCGCGCGCGCGCGCGCGCGCGCGCTCTCCGTCCGGCTTTTTCCCGGCCGTCGCCTTACCACTTTTTCGGCCGACACACGCAATAACGTGATTGCGCGATAATGCGAAACACAGTGTGACGTGAAGACCTTATGCGATACCTTTCCTACACGGTGTTGCCACCTGTAGGATTTTTGCAGCGATAAAGAGTTTTGACAATGCTAACAGAGTCCGGTGACAGAATATCGTGTATACACGTCTAGATCGGATTCCGCATGTGAAAGCTCCTATTTATCGTGTCGGTGATGTGTAACGTTCACTTTGAACAATTCATAAAAATCACCCGACTCCGGGACAGATATGCATAAATTTTATTGTTCCATTCCATCCACCAATATTGTTGTATTTGTAAAATCAGAAAATAATCTGAAAATTTCTCTCGCGCGCGTTTAGAATCTTTTCTCAGAGTTTACGAAAGTTACGAAAGTCTCAGAATTTCGACAGTCTCTTAGGAAACATATCGATTCAAATAATACATGGCAAGTAATAATATTAATCAAGGGTTTCAGTAAATTAAAAAAGTTGTTTTACTTTTAAGAGATTTCTAAAACATTTGATTAGTTTTCTGAATCCCTATAATAATCAAGCTATTTCAAAACATATCATGAAGTAAAAGAGATTTGTTGACTCTACCGTGACTAGTTGAAAGATTCCGATTGCTGTTTGAACGAACACGTTTAATGCAGGAAAAAAAAACGCAGTATTTGATATTTTCAATGCATAAGTCGACTTTGTTGCTTTCTTACAGAGAAGAAACGCGATTTCTTTGAATTTAATAAATTTCATTAAATTCAAAGAAATTTATCTTAAATATATAAATAGAATTATTAAATCTAAAGAAAACTTTTTCTTTGCGTATGCAATCAGAATCATATATATATCGGAATCTGAACATATATATCGGCAGCTATTGATACAAAAAAAAACTGAATTGAAACTATTAATAAAATAATCATTAAACAAAATACGTCGTCGGATCGCACTGACTTGATTAATGTCAACTCTGATAAATTATAATTTCCTCTTTTAAAAGAAAAAGCAGCGAGAATGCCAGGACACGACCGGTCACATTGTCACATTGCACGGAAAAAATAATTTTGCTGTAGAATCTAAAAATTCAGATAAAAACTGAAAATATGTATACATATAAAAAATATATATACATATATATATCAATTTTTTGGCGTCTTGCGTCACCTTCCGGTAAGCGGCGCCTACCGGAAAAATAATTTTATAAAAATTTATTTTAGGCCATCAAAATTATTATGTAGGACGTTTAAACATATAATACTGCAAAATTCTTTGCATATTGTAGCAACTAATTTGTATGTCTTACATAATTACATTAACGGACAAAATTATTTTTCAGATTTATATCCAGTAAAATTGTTCTTTCCGTATATCAATGCAATCTCCGACGAATCTCGCGCTTCACTTTGCGAGCTCTCTTTATTATCAGAGACGCCGCGGCACGACGGGAAAAAAAAGGAGCGTCGGAGCTTGCCGCGAGCGACGCCGTTTAAAACAGCTGTTTGAGCGGCGCGCCGGAGGAGCGGGACTCGCGAGACGACAGAGAGCATTGAACGGCGTAGTTACGTTATACGGGAGCTTTGAGGTTAAGTCCCACCATCCCGGTGGGACGCGCAGGGACGCGGCGGAACGGGCGCGCGATCTCGGATTCTCGCTCGTAGCACGCCGCTCGTCGCAGCTCCCCTCGCCTCTCCCCTTGACACGAACCCTCGTACAGGCGACCCGCGCGTAAACAACGCGAGACTCGACGCGCGATCAACGATCGCGAATGACACGCCGCTGTCTTCCGACCGTTCGATCGACATTGGCGCGTTTCTAACCTCAAACACGACTTCGCGCGGGCAATTCGCGCAAAATGAGAGAAAAGGAAGAAAAAAGAGAGAGAGAGAGAGAGAATAGAAAGAAAAACTTTTGATAGCGCGTACGTACCTTCGATGCGATTCTTCTCACGCAGATTGGAACGCGTCTCTCTTTGTCCGCCACGCTCGTGCGGCCTCTCCTGATGATCCACCTCGAGGAAAAAAAAACACACGCCGATGAATGAGCGACGAGGGGGTGACGACGAAGGGAGGGAGAAAAAGAGGGAAGAGAGAGACACACACCACACACACACACGCACACACACACACACACACACAGAGATAGATCCGAGCGGTCGAGAAAGAGAAAGAGAAAGAAAAAGAAACTCGGTACACGTGCGCGCGCGCGCGCGAGAGAAGAAAACTCGCGCACTATCCGGCACACTAGACGATGCGAATGTACATGCGTGTATACATATGTATACGTATGTAGATTATATGCGTATTAACGCGCGACACACCGGTACGTTTCACTGGTTTTCCAACAGTCGCGCACTTCACCACCGGAGCACAGGTTTGCGTAGGTGGGGGAGCGACGGTGTACAGCGCACACTAGTGGTAGTAGTGGTGATAGCGGTTGCGAAGGAGGGAGAGAGGAAGGGAGGGAGGGAGGGAGGAGGTAAGGGAGTAGGAGAGAAAGAGAGATAAAGACGTGTAGATATTCGACGGCGTTTACGGCGGTACTTCCTCTTCGCGCGCGAAATAGCGCAGCCCACTCGCGATGACGACAACGACGACGATGGTGTAGAACCTCTGAGGGGAGAGGAGAGGAGAGGAGAGAAGGGGCGAACGGGGAGACACTACCACCTTCTCTCGGTGCCGCGAGCTTATCGTCGGGCTGTCACCGCGAGCATAACGAGCGCACCACGCTCGCGCGTTCTCTTTTACCTCCAGGCCGAGTGCCCGAGCGCGTGTCGGGTGTCGACGATGACGCGACTTCACGCACTCTCACACAAATAACAAACACACACACACACACGCGGGCACACGCGGCACACGAGTCGCGCGAGCTTGTATCCTCGCTCGCGTCGCGCCTTTCCCTTCGCCGATCGCAATCGGGTCGCGGCCGTGAAACTCGCCGCGCGTATCCGCCGGCGCGTCTCCCTCTCTTCTGCCTTCCTCTCGCGGGAGTCGATCGGCCGCGAGCGCGAGGAAGCGGATTCGCGGTGCGACGATCAGCGTCGCGCGACTGGGCGTAGCGGCGATGCGATAGTAAAGTTGGCGACGGTAGTCCTACTGTTGCTGGCGGTAGTGGTGGTGGTAGTGGTGATGACGGTGGCGGTGGTGGCCGATGGTGGTGGTGATGGTCGATGATCGTTGATGACCGTGACTCACACGTGGACACGTCGCGTCTCCGCTCTACCTCCCGCCTTGCCAAAATGTCGCAAGACTTCCGGTGCCAAGACGAAGAATCGCCGTTCTTGACACACAACCGCTCGGCTGGCCCCTCTTTTATTCTTTTATCGACACTACTTTACGACGACTATCCTTCTTCCTGTTCTTCTTTCTTCTCCTCTTCCTTCGCGCTTCGTTACAACGCGATCCACGATCCGACCGATGTACGGCTGACAGTTCTGTATCCCAAAACAGGGACGTGCGAGCGCGCCACCGAATCAGACGGTGAGGTGATATATTAATTCCGGAGTCCTGCGTTCGAAGATCCGTTTGTTTTCGTTTGCGCGAGCACTGAACGTACGTGCGTACGCGCGCGCGCGCGCGCGTGTGGAAGAGAAAACAAGAGAGATGATACACACTGACAGATGAGAACGCGTGCTGCCGTGTCTTCACGAACGTCGATACGGTTTCTCCACACAAGTATCCGACGCGTACGGATGTCGTACCGGTTCTCTTTTAGGTTATGATCATCGGCGTCACCGCGTGATGCCACATGCAGCCCGACGAGCTACTGACTGACTGACTGTCACTACTGCTGCTGTTGCTGTTGGTCGTTCGCTCGTTCCGCCGTCGCGACGACTATCACGTGGTATTCTCGCGTGCGTGAGCTCTTCTTGTTTGTCGCCGATGATGCGTCTTCCTATCTTCGTGACTCGCAGCCCGATTCACAACGACAGGGGGGGCCCTCGGACCCCGCGGGACCGACGACGGTCGCCTTAGGGACGCGCCCCGATCCGTCGCTCCCGTTTTCGCGCTTGACGATCACGAGGCGCCCGTTTCGTCGACGCCGGCGCTGCTGCCGCCAGACGGACGGAGGAAAAGGAGGAGGAGGAGGTGGAGGAGAAAGAGGTAGCGGAGGAAGAGGAGGATACGCGATGCAGAGCGCGATGTGGACGTACTACCGGCTGACACCCCCGCGACAGCGCCGCAATGAACTCGCCCGGCACGAAGGGTCAAAAGCACCGCGGCAAAATAATAACAGAACGCAGCCGCCGACGCCGCTGTCGCCAACGACAGCGCGTGTGCTGTGCAGTAGCTGCCGCCGCCGCCGTTGTCGTTGTAGCCGTTGCCTCGTCGCCGTCACACGAGCGCGACGACCTTCCTCTTTCTACTTTCGCTCCACCGTTGCCCGAGACCAGCCGTGACCGGCGGCGGCGTCGCGTGAAGAATGGCGCGACGCCCCGACACGCCGGGACAACGCCGCACTCGGCAAGGCACGACGACAATAATAACAATAACAACGTCGTCGTCGTCGTCGTTGTTGTGCACAAGCAACGCGACGGCTGCCGTTGCTGCTGATGTTTTTGTTGTTGCTGCCCGTCACGGGATTTTTGTAGCTATTATCCACGATACCACCGTTGTCACCCGAGAGGCTCCCGCCGACGTTGTCAATGTCGTTGTTTTTGTTGTTGCTATTGCTGCTATTGTTGACGGTAACGATGTTGATGATGCTGGTGATGATAGTGGTAGTGGTGGTGGTGGTGGTGGTTATTCGCGGCCGCGGGTTTTGGCGGGTTTCCACGAGCGACGAGCGCGCACACCACTGGCACACACCGCGGCCGCCGTGCATTCACCTCGTCCTCGCAGCACGCGCCGCCGCCGCCGCTGCTGCCGTCGCCGTCGCCACCGCCGACACGCACCGACGAGCGCTCCTCCTCGCCAGCTCGCGTCGCAGTCGTGATCGGCTTCCACGAGGTCTCTGGATGCGGACGCCTCGTAGGAGCTGTTCCGAATTAAAATCGTTGCCGCTGTCGCAGTTGCAGCCGTTGCTGCTGTTGATATTGCTGTTGCCGCTGCTGCTGCTGTTGTTGCTGCTGCTCCTATGCCGCCACGCCACACCGAGACACACGAGACGAGGTTGTCCGACGCACCACTGGTGGCTCACGAACGCGCACGAACGAGCACCGATCGCGACGACGTCGAGCGGACGCTCGAGCTCGCGGCTTGCACGTCGGGTAACGCGCGACGTTCCCGCAGCACACACGAGTATCGTACAACGTCCTAACCGCGGGGACACCGCATCGCTTTCACGGGCGAACATGGAGCTGGATCCATGCCGATTAGTTGGCGAATCGGCCGCGTGACGGCGCGCTCGGACACCACCGTCGTGACGACGGAGCGCGCGGGAGAGAAAGAGAAGGAGAGAGCGAGAGAGAGATGGCGCGCGCGAGCGTGCGCGCGCGCGCGTACCGAAATACGGCCTTCGGAGCCGCGCCGTCGCGCCTGCGGCAGGCCTGCCAACGCGATATCGCACCGCTTGACAACAGCGGATACGCTCGCTCCGCGCCAGATGGCGCCTCCGTCCGGCACGCACGGCTGGCCCTACGCGCCACTTAGCCCCGTGGCGATCTTGATATTAAAACGATACCGTTTCGTTCATTAAGTAGGAATTAATATTTAATTCAATTATCCGTTTGCTCTATAAGCCAGAGTTCCATTTCGTCGCACTCCGGTTTCGATGTAAATGTATTTATTAAGCTTGTTAAGGAATTCAAAAAGGAAATTTCAATAAAATCGAAGCGAATTTATTTAATATCTCAAACAGTACAATATATCTGAAATCTGAATATAAGACATCTTAAAAGGCAATATTCATAATTTTCTTATATTTAAGATCGTCTTAAGATTACATTTTCGAACAATTTTCAAACAAGCCGTATAAATTTATTTAAGATGATCTTAAATATAAGAACGGATTATGAATATCAGCCAAAGATGTAAAGATGTCTTTAGCAAGGATGTTTTCAAGACATTTCATGTTTCCCTTTTAGCTTTTGTACTTGTCTGGAATGGGCTTGGAATGTGCTCTTTAATTTATCTAGTATAAGATAGCCTGAAAAATTGACGAACCGAGATTTAAATTCAGAATTTTTCGTTCGTTCGGCGACATTTCACCACTTATTTAACCACAGCGCTATTTTCTTTGATAATTATTCCCGATCTCAAGCTTTAATTGATCTCTTATTTTCTATATTAAAAATAAATTCTTTCTCCTTTTCGTTCTTTATTTTAACACTTTTTAATTTTAATTAACTTGAAAAAACAACAAAGCTTTTGTTTTAATTTAGTATTTATTGGAGAAATTATCAAAAATTTGTTAAAAATAACAATGAAACCTGAAAAATTTGAGAAAATAACATGGTTTTTTTAAAAAACTCCACTCAAAGCATATAATATATTAAAGATACACACACACACACACACACACACACACACACACACACACACACACATACGCGCGCGCGCACACACATATAATGAATATATATAATGAACATATATATACATATATAATGAACATATATATAAGACACAAAATTTATTTTAGCTTTAAATTAAACTGCGACACTGCAAGATTGATGTAAATCCAAAAAAAGTCCCCTTCAAAACAATAGATCTAACTCATTCAATATGAATTTGTTTGATCAAACAAAGTTCCGATCGTTTTGTTATTCTATAATATTAATTGTGAACAAAATTAATTAAACGCAATATTCTTTCATGAAAAACGTAATTATATATTTGATCATATTAGAAAGACACAACATGATAGATTCAGCGATCAAAGATTAATTTTGAAATTTCCGAGTTTCTGATCGCCAGATAATCGTAATTTTGTGTGAAAAACTTGATTGTAAGGTTCTAAGGAAAGCAGAAACTGCGGTGGAACGTGGGGAGAGAATGTTTCATTGAAAAGTCGATGATTTAGGATGAGTCACGAACTACGTTCGTAATCGGGAAATCGACTTGACACAGCGTGCCTCGACTTGGCGCATCCAAGATTTCCGCTGAGATCATTGAGTGATCTCACACGATGATACATTTATATCCGAGGCAAAGCTAAGCGGAATTCGCGAGCAATCTAAACTGGACTGAATGTGTGCTAAATTGCAGTATAAATTGCTCGGCAGAATAATTTGAATCGAACGGCCGTAGTACACCGGAAGATTAAAAGAATACAATTTGCAGCGCAATTAACTTCTAAACAATGCGCCGCTAGGGATTTATGTCGAGTTGAAAAGTGCGATTATTTTTTTCAACGCACTGCTGACGGACATTCTTAAACAATCACCTTTCAAGTTGAAAATACTAGCTTTCTTCTAATTTCTAAAATAAAAATACAATAAAAGTAAAATGATGATGATATTTCTCACATTGCACACTCTGCACTTTGCACATTTGCTGATTCTAATCGATATCTCGTAAAACAATTAATCGATATAAATAGATTATGAAATCTTTAATTGATAGTATGGATAAATATAAATGCGGAAAACAGCTGTATATCATATGTGAAAATATAATCAAGTAAATTGATATATACTTCCTTCTACAAGAGAAACAATTAGAATAAAATAAATTTACACAATATCTGTAGAATTAAACCTTTACAAATATATTTACACATTTACATTACATCCTGGAAACAAATGATATTACTGTGTAACAATTTTTTTTAAAGATATATGTAATAATAAAAAATGAAAAAAAAAATAGATCAAAGATATAAATTCATGTATGAAAATTATTTTACACTAAAATCAGACATCTTCAATCATATACTTACAAATATTCAACGATTTTATTGAAAAAAATTCATAATCATTTATGTGATATGATCACTGTGAGTGATTCATAATTCAAAGTTTTATTTTAAAAATGTTCATTAGATTTTTCAATAACTCATTAACTCGACTTTAAGCATTTATTAAAAAATTGAGCTGCGTATATCGATTGTAATTGCATGCGGCATATTTTAATACAATTACTTGATAAAAAAAAAATCGAAAACTTCATTAATAGCGCAAGTATTTATATCGTAATAAATTTCATAATTATTACGATACTCACAGAGCGCACAGATATGGCACTCGATAAAATGCGCTGCCCCTGTAAAAATCATAATACATAAAATATGATAAAAAATAATATACATGGATGAGACTTATCAGAGATACAAAAAAAATTACGAATGACGTGCGAGACGACTGTTACGAGACGAAACTGTACAAACTACATAACATGACGCAATACTTGAGCGACACGATGCAACATTCGTTCGGGATTAGTTCGCAATATATGTTGTCTTACCTCTAAAAAAAAAATAATAACATTAAAATATATAATTTAAAAATAAATTTATGGCAAGCCATACATTTCTCATTCTGCATAAACATTTACTAACGTAACCAACATAACTTTTTGTAATTTTGTACTTTACAGTATAATTTTTGTACAGTAACAGAATTTATGACAGAATCAGATGTGGGTAATTAATATATTGATATCTAATAACAGATATCAGGTCAACTATCTGAATTTCAATAAGATTATCTTTGGGATGAAAAGCAAAAATCATGCACGCTTGTTTCAACAATTGTTATAATATACACTCTCGTTCGTAGTTTTTATTGTTTTCATTTTGAATCTTCATTACATCGATAGCGTATTTTGTCAATTAAGAGATTGTATTATTTTGCTAAAATTGTTGTAGCATCGTTGTACAAAATATACAGTAAAAATGACACAAAATGACAAGTGTTAAAATTTCAGCATTTATCATTCCTGTGAGATCTTATGACACAATAGGTATAATGTCATTTTAAACATAACACCAACTCTTATAATGTAAAATAATTGGATGACATAATGTATTTTTGACATAATACATACTGATGTTTTTCAGCATGATATGCATAATTAATCCTTTGATAATTAAATTTATACAACATTATTATACTTCTGTTGTTGTTGTTTTTTTCACTGACATTCATGATAAATTCATATTTAATATGTCAAAAAAAAGCAATCAAGACCAAATGGCGTAGTAATTAGCGCGTAATGATGATGTAAAAATATATTTATTTCTTGATTACATTCATTAGACGATTCGATTAGATGTAATTAGGAAGTAAATATATTTTCACATTATTATATTATTGCGCCGTTTATTTTCAATTGCCCTTCTTGAGATATTATTTCTTTGTATTAATTTCGAGAATCTTATTAATTGTACTTAATGTTTTATCCTGAAAATTTTCTTTCATTTTTTAACATCAAATAATACTATCAAAATTGATATTATTTATTGACTGATTAAATAATGAAAATAATATTTCTTGACTTTCTCTATTCATATTCATATTTATATTCATATTCTTATACATGTATATACATATACATACATATACATATATTGTTAACGAAGGGGTTTATTATTGGAACAATATTTTATATATATATATATATACATAGTTTTAAAATTGCCTCGAAAATTTCCGTGACTCCGATACGATTTTCCTCCTGTATGTTTTCCTCGCAAAATGTGACTTTTACCCTTTAAAACTTTCCTTTTCCATGCCAATCAGATCCTTTTTGGAATGTATGGCCGGTCATTAGTTCCTCATCTTCAGATTCTTCTAATTCCATTGGGCTTTCGCCACGACTATGTTCGCTTCTTCTGTCATGATAATCGTCACGCTCCATAGAACGTCTATGATATTCCGGTGAATATTTCTCGCGACTATAGTGATCACGCACACTAGAGTGAGTGGAAAAATCATCTCTACTTCTAACAGGAGAATTCAGTCTTACGTTTCTAGATTCATGATCCATAGAATCTAAATGCTCGCGATCCTCGGATCTTCTAGAAGGAGACTGCTTGTTCCAAGTACGTCTCTGCGACGAGTTATTTAGACTCCATCTCAGATCCTCTACTTCGCGAAACTTGGATCCATATTCGTATGTATCTCGTGCACTCCAATCAAGACGATCCATTATTGGTCGTTTCTCTTCTTTTATTTGTTGAAGATCGTGTGGATAGACTTGTGACTCGAAATCGGCCGTACTGACATATACTTGCACACTCTTCGTTTCTGTTTCCACATCATCTGTCTGACAGATCTTCTGATGCATTTGAATCGTTGCTTTTGGAACTGGTATTGGCTGTTCCGCGTTGCTTTCTTTCCAAAATATTTTGGTTTTGCTTTTCTGTAGAAGTATCGAATTCGACGTATGGTCCTCGGAATCATCTTTCGTTACGTTTTCTTCACTGCGATCGTAGAAAAATCTACCTTTCATCTTTAAACGCGGATCCTCAATTGGAAGTTGGCACAACGCTTGTTCACAATGTTGCATTATTTCAGGCTTGAATCCTATCAGTGAAAAGAAAACGAAGTCGCGTAAAATAAAAATTCCAAATTACGTATATGCCGTAATGCTTATAAAATATACGTTTTATGGCATGCTTCTTGTAATCTTCACACACTTTGTGAGATAAAAGTGTCTTTAAATAAAAATACACTTTGCATATTGAATAAACATATCACACCATCCATGTAGCGCGATTAATAAGTACTTTAGATTCAATTTGAAATTTTAAAAGTTCTTACCTGGATATAACACCGGTATATTAGATGAATCTAAAGGATATGATAAAAAAAGAAAATATAAAAATCATAAATAAGGTAAGCTTATCAGACAAATAATTCAAACATATTTTAATTAAAACAAAGGAGCATACAAGTTACGCAGGATCTAGGCACTGTGAACATTGTAATATATAAAAAAAACCTTGTACTTTTTAATATTATTATTTTTATATATTACAAAGTATTTTACTCCTTTGTTTTAATTAAAATATAAAAAATTAGTAACGTTCAAATAGGGATTATATCTTTGTGGTCAATCAAGAAAAAGTGAACTGTATCAGTTCTATGCGAATCAATTTTACACGATCAAATACATAGCAAATAAAAACATACTCGCACCTTTGGCCGAAACAGATGCTTCCAATAGACTGGATAAGCTGGTTTTTTCGAAATGCTGCAAGATCAAGTTATAAAAATGATGTTAATTTTTTTTCTACAATCCATAATTAAAATAAATTCTTCGTATAGCGAATTAAAATAAATTAATTTCGACGAAGTGACAAATATTCTTCGTCGAATTTTAAACATCAACAAAATCAAATATTTATCACTATTGTATGTATTGCAATTACTTTTGGTTTAGAGATGATCGGTGGTTCGGGTGTCTTCATTCGTTCCTGACGCGGAGAATAAGCTTCGTTGTACGATGCCGCTGGTCCACGTTCTGTGTAATTTTGCGATGAGGATGGCGTAGTTGAATGATTCAAAGATTTGTTTGGAGGTTCAAATTGACGGATCGATGATTGTTGGACAAAAGGTACGGTAAACGATGGATTGTACGTTATTTGCGCGTGATCCATCGCTGGAGGAGGTACAGGTTGCGGCGAGGGTAGTGGTGCAGAAAGCAATGGTGTACAGATCGCCGGTGGTGGAGGTGCTTGAACAGAAGGGGCATTCGGCTGGTTGTAAAGAATGGGACCAGAGGAATAAGTGGTTGGGGCTGGAGTATGTGGTGGAGGCATGGGTTCAAAATTCATTAGCGGTACAGTCGGCATAGGTTCGAAGTTTATAAACGGCGATCCGCTTGGCATTGGTGCTAGCATAGAAGACGACGAAGGCGGTGCTGGTGGTAGCGAACCTGGTTGATGCACGTACGAAGGTGGTGCGGACGGTGGTGGCGGTGGTCTAGGTTCCGGTTCTTGCTTATACGTGGGTGGATTGAGCAGTGGTGCGATTTCTTCCATCGTCGCGGGTGGCACATATCCTCCGCTGTTTACTCCAGTTGGCAGTCTCGCTTCGTTTCTCAAGGTTCTTGCCAATTCGTTGATGAAGGGTGAACGCTTTCTGCTGCGCTTCTCCAATGATCTGCTACGTGTGCGAGTGCGACTTCGGCGACGGGGGCTGTATCGTCTGCTTACTGGTGAACGGCTCGATCGTCTTCTTAGACGTTCCATGCTGCGGCTCCTTCGATCGTGAGATCGGCTCCTTCGATCGCGAGATCGGCTTCTTCGGCTTAATCAAGATAATCACTACAATATAGTCTAACACATTTGTATATCGTATACAATAAAAATATAAAATTAAAAATAGCCGATTGTGAAAAAATACATTTATCATAAATAATTAATTATAATGTATAATAATTGTATACAAAATGATTTCGACTTTACTACGCAATAGTGTAAAAAAGATATTTTACACTATTTTAACTAAGTTTTCCTCGTTCCTTAAATGGAAAAGATTAAAAACATTTAAAAATCTCACAAGAATATTAAGAATATTCTTCTCACCGTTCATGCGTCCAATCAGCGCGTTTCCTACGAGATCTCTCAGCACTCCATCGTCTATCTACGCTGGATCGTCGTTCCCCACTAAATCGTCTAGGACTTCTTCGTCGATCTGGACTTAATATAGGACTTCTTCGATCAAATCTCGGTGAATTTTTTCGTCTGCCTGGACTATACCCGTAAGGACTTCTTAGGCTTTCCGCACTTGATTTATAAGGACTCCTACGATGATCCGGGCTGAGAGGACTTTTTCGTCGATGGGGACTCAGCCGAAATCGATCGGGAGTTTTACGTCGTAGCGGACTTGATCTGCCATACCGTTCTGATGATTTGCTCCTACGATGCTCCTTCCGTTGTGCTTCGCGCTGCGCTCGTTCTCTATTCTGTTCCTCTGCGATACTCTGGATAGCTTCAACTTCCGTGCCAGGTGGAACTACATTATCTGAGTCCAATAAATGTTTGATCGCCTTTTCCTTTTCGGCAAGAAGCTTGCTTTCGGTGTCTCTCTTCGTTCGGATTTTATCCCTTTCAATGTCCTTGGTGCTTTTCAAAGGATCCCGACGGGTCTCTTCACGTTTTTCTCTTCTTTCTTTGACTTTTTACGTTTATGAGATCCTTTAGACTCGGGATGATGGCGTTCCCTATAATTACTTTTGCCATCATTCATTTGCTACAGAGTACTAACTTTCACATTAAATATATTGTATATATATGTATATATATATATATATATATATATATATATTACACACGTAGCATACATATAGCAGAAAATGGAAATTATTTGATACAGCTTTGGAACTTATAACTAAATCTAAAATTAAACATTAAACATTAAATCTAACATAATACATTTGCATAATACAAATCAATAATGTAATTAATTCAAGCTAAGAAAAAGTCGTCGCTATTATAATTTTTTTACAATCATTGTATTTGTATATAAGAGCATACAATGGCTTTATTTTTAATCTCAAGTGTGTAGTAACATTATATAATATTATATAAAAGTTATCTACATTAATGACACTACCTAGGATGCTGCTTCTTTTTTTGTCCTATAGATTTTGTTTTGTCTTGCTCGCGATTTTTATCTTCATCACCTTCCCATGCATCTACGACATCCAAACCCGCCATGAAGGCTTCGTCATCGAGGAATTCTTTCAGTTCTTCATCTGGTATCTCCCTGAGGCCCTTGATTGCACGTTGTACATCATCATTTTCAGTACTTTTCAGTAAAGGATCGTCTAATATCTCGTGAGGTTGTTTCACATATATCTTGCCAATGGTCTCCATCTTTTCTTCTTTCACTTTTACTTGATGTTGATCTTCCTTGTTGCTTGTGTTATCCATATTGCTCACCGAATAGCAATTACCTCAGTAGTCTGAAGTAATCAAGAATATCATGTGTGAATTCTCTATATAAAACTCAACTTTGCTTTTTGTACTTGTATACTATTGTACTGTTACTAATTAAATTCTGTGAAAAGTACACAGTATACAGTATAAAAAATTTAAGGCATTTTATACCAATCGTTGCTACAATTTCAATTTCTTATTTTATACTTCCATAAAACTATGCTGGTAAGCTCTATGCTTTGTCTATACCTCAAGCATGTCTGTTAACAAGCAGAGTTTTAGTTTTTCACACGTTTATTGAGATTCACCATAATATTACAATTATCTGGTATTTCGAATCTCATTTACCGAACAATTAGTGAACATGTAAATGTTTACTGAATTAATTTCAAGCCTCCAATGAATATGTTCAACGAATATAGTGCTCCGCTATGGGGAACGAGTTACGGCGATCAATCTTGATCGGAGAAATAACGAGCTTTGCCGATTTGATTAATAAAAATTAAAATATTAGCTTTTACTTGGCTCCCGGTGTAAAATTACCGCGAGCAAAAGTGCCCTGGCGCTAGCGGATTTGTATAAATACCGGAAGTTACATGCCGGTAAGCAAACCACCGAGAGAAGTATGATAATAACGTAAGATCTGCAAGATCCTAAGCGTGCGAACAAAATACTTGAATTGCAAAAATAGATGCTTGCTCGATGAGGAAATCCTCTGCTTTTCCTTCTCTATTCGCCATGTTGCTCACTCAGTAAAACTAACCTAATCTTTGACTCAGGAACGAAGACGTATCTAAAATCATATAATTTTATTATACAAAAATTTTTCGTAACCTTGTACAAGATTCGCAGTTTATATCGTTTCCCTGATAACAATGGCGAGCGCACACTGCGATGTATCTCATGTAATCGTAATAATAAATGAAAACATAATGAATAACCTTTCGTCGACCGTTATTGTTTAGAGACCATAGCGGACAGCACTGAGCATTTAACAATCGCGTTTCTATTGTGCATTGTTTCGCCGAATCGAATCGAATGATTTTTCTCCTTTTAAATATGTATAGACTTGTCCCTTATAGCAATTGCATGCATCACGCCTTCAATTGGAATAAAATGCGTAGATAACGAGAAAATCCGAGAGAAAGAGAAAGAGACATGAAAAAGTAGAGACATAGAAAATTCGAAAAGCTACATCTCTGTTTTTTATTTCACTCTTTGGACCTTTTTTCTGTACTCAACATCACAGACCTATCTAATTTTGAGTGCAGAAAGTGTAATATACAGATTGTCTCGAAATTTATATATCAAATATAGCAAAAACATTCTCGAAAAGATATAAGTAAAAAATTATTTTTTTTATTTTAAATAGTTTTTGAGATATAAAGATTTGTAGATGGTCAGTTATAAACTAACATTATCTAAACGCATAATCTGACTGATCAGAATTGTACCTATACAGACTTCTAAAGAACATCCAGACGACATCTTAAAAACATTTCAGTAAATATTTCTGCGATAAAGCTGTATGGGTATTTTAAGTAAAAAAAAAAAGGCAAATAATTTTTCGCGAGAATTTTGTTGTATTCTGAGACACAAATTTTAAGACACTGTATATGTACACTTTCTACACTTAAAACTAGATAAGTACATGATTGGAATAAAAAATATAAAAAAATTCAACTATAGAAAACAAAAATCTTTTCGTGTATTTCAAAAATTTAAAATAAAAAAAACAATTTGACAATTTTTTTTATTTAATCTTTCAATAATTTTTATTTTAAATTTTCAAGAATTTTTTTACCATAATTTTGAGTTATAAATTCGGTCACAATTTTAATTATATACATTCTATATACAGTTATATCGACGATATCACCGAAACAATTTATTCGTTGATTATGCTTAGTATGTATGTAAACAAAGCTAATGGCACACAGAAAAACAATGCATAAGCAATGCTTTAATGTTTTAATAAACTTTAAAAATAAAGTCTCGAAAACATAAGATTATCATTTTAAAATTCTTGATAATTGGTCAATTTATCTGTTGCTTAAATTTTCACAATTTTACAATTTATAGTTTATATCTAAGTTTATATCTAATTTTTTATACACACATTAATATAAACAAAATTAGGCTAGAAATCAAAGTTTATCCAGGAAAGTCGCGATTGTTAATTCATTAAAATCTTTGTAACTAAAAACTAATTTTGTTTCAATATTAAAGAAATTAAAAATAAAAGTTTTTTTATATCTATAAAAATTGATAACCGTGATACATCTTTAACGTTGATTGCTCTAATCATCAGATCAAGTCTAATGAGACTTTTGTTGATCTCGACGCGAAAAGATCGAAATAGACATGACATGTATATGTAAATAGACATGTATTTGTAGAAACTTGTATTTATTTCATGTTCGATTATACATACTCTAACTTATACGAACTGATTACAGTTCGCAATATAGATTTAATAAATAATGACTATAATGACTATAAATTGACTAGGCGGTAGTGTGCTATATTGAGAAATATGTATGATATTAAGAAACATGACGTAAAAGCTATTCTTGATATTCATTTATACATGTTTTTCCAAAGAGAAAATTTATATTTTATACAACCCCGAATTTTTAGAAATAATCAATCAAATACGATCAAATGTATTACATTGTATTAATGTAACTTTAACAAGGGGGTACGTATGCAATAAAGGGTACGTATGCAAACTACTTATTTTTGGTCCGTATCAGAAAGTAAATAATGTACGATTTAAAATCATCACGACTTTTGATGACATAGCAATTGATCATAGGTCTTTTTGAATTGCAGCATATGTAGCAATGTTTTGTTTATTATCTTCGGTATCCAAGTATTCACAAAGCATTCGAATTGTCGAATAATATGATTCTGACTATTCTCATCGTTCAATATTATAATCACTGCTACAGGATTGTCTGCCTTTTCTAACGTACATATAAAATCTAGTTTAATATTATTTGCCTGGTCGTGTTCATTTAATTGCTCCACTACTTTATCTGACATGATTGCTTCTTTTTCTAGAAGACTTATTTGAAGATCCAAAAGAGTTCTATTGTTCTTTTTTCTATTGTACCAAACACATTTGTTACCCGTACAGTGAAAAGTTACCTTCTGATTATTTCTGGTATGTACATCAGATAATACATCAATTTTCTGCTGTTTTACTTCTTGATCAATTACTTCAACTTGTAATTTGAATATCATTTCGAAAATGTCTCTTATTAAATTAAAAGTGATAAAATACCAATTATCTTTTTTGTACTGTTCCTTATCAACAATATCTGTACGCGTTTCGAAATCTTCTGGTAATCCAGCATGGAGAAAACGACCAGCCTTTATTATATTTCTAAATTTCTTCTTCTTTTTCTTCATATGTATCAATTGAGGGGGTATTGTATCAAAAATCATTCTCAATAGATTATCATAATTATTTACACTGGCTGTTGAACAAATATCAGCGCTAAATTTGCAACAGTGTTGAAATGTTAATAATGCACGGTCTGATGTATTTGCAGCTGTATTCTGATTAAGTTCGATTGGATCCTGTATGCATGCTGGCTTATGAACATCCAATTTCTTGGCATTGCTATCCATGATGTAATTTTTGTACCTGTCCATGTAATTAGGTAATTTATCTGGCTGTGCAAAATCAGCTGTTGAATATGTTTTTCCATCCAATAGACATACCACACATGAATTAAAACTAAATTGACTATAAAAGGACAAGAAATTGTGAAATAATTCTGCAATACTGCTGCTGTTGTTAATAGGTGGTAATATGGTATTTTCGTTAAAGTTTACTTGCCACCCGTACATAATCTCTGGGGTGCAAGTTCTTTGAAGATGTAATAAGGGTGGAAGAAGCCCGACTGATTCTTGTTGGAGGTAAAAGATAATCAGACATACTAATCCATAGCTGGAAATCCTTCCGCTACCCGAAATTCCGAAATGCCTCGCCCAGTACTTGATGAGCAACATTAACGGTCTTAATCGAGGATCGCGTGATGCGCAATAGCGTAAGAAGTTACTCTTATAGATGCCTAAGCCATTTTTGAAAGAAATATCGCAAGAGACATTAGTTGGTATGTAACGAAATTTTATAATAGGCGTTTTTGCTTTAGGGATCGAGACTATGTTGGAAAATACAGATTTCATACTATACATAACTCTTCTCACTTTTTTGAAAATTATTGGTGTCCACACTTGAGTCGGAACATCTGGTTTGTGATAGAATGATGGTAAATCTTAAACAAAAAAGAAACTTACTAAACATGCTATAATAATATTTTTATAATATTAAGTTAATAAAATTAAATACTCTTACCGAGTGCACCGATATACATGTAAATGTCTAAATCACTCTCTTTGAAACTTAATTGTGCCACTGTTGAACCAAATTTGTATGTTCGACATTCCGAGAAAACTGATCTAAATATGTCATCCAGATGAGTGCAAATCACATCATATCTTGTTGCCAATTCATATTCAGTAAGTTGTACTGCATTTAAAAGAGCTGCCAATTGATTGTTAAATGTCACTTCAGTTTCAATAGTATTCTTTATACGATCGTATCTTATCGGATCATCTTCTTCTTCAATTTTATTCTCAGCTTTTTTCGGGCTGGTTTTAGTCCTTATTTCTTGTGGCACTATGAAACAATAAATAAATAAATAAATAAATATATAACATGATTGTAATGATAATATATAACATGATTGTAATGATAATATATAACATGATATATAACATGATTTGTATACAAAAATAGTTAGGGATGATAATTGTATTGCTATTTTAGGATAATTAAGTGGTATTTACTTTTATCAAAGCCAAAATTTTCTCCATTTCTCTTAAGTCTTCTCAAACATAATTTTTCATTTGCTAGCCAGTGTGATCTGCTCATTAAAATATCAACCGATTTGCTGCAATGCACAATAACAAAACATAAATTTTAGACAGTATACAATTATTCATTTACATGCATTTAAACATTAAGATTTTCCATTTTTTCTAAACAGATATTCCTATTTTTTCTAAATATTGATATAATAAACACAACAAAAAATATTTATTTCAAAATTATGGAAGAAAAGAAAAAAAAAGTAGAATGCTTTATTAAATATTTGTACAAATTAAACAGATAAAATTTATTCTTGTATATTTTGTTATAAATATATTAATTACAAATTACCTATCATTATATTCAATCCAAAACGAATTCCGTCCAAAATGTTGTCTTTTAACTGGCCCAAATTGATGCAAGAAATTTACTAAATCCTCTGATGATATAGTTTTGGGTAAAGGCGCAACACAAACTGATTTTCCTGGTAAATAATGCTGATCCACTTTATGCGATATTTGATCTGATTTTGTTTCTTGATGTTTTGAGCTGGTAGCAATTTCTTCTTTCGCAGGTTTGACAGACTCAGCGTATGATTTAGAATTCATTATTCAATTGTTGTGTAAACAATTACTGATAATTATCGCTTTGACTTAATTGTATCTCTGTTTCTAAAGAATATTAGTCTCTTAATAGTAATATATCAAAAAATAAGAGAAAATAGTTATTTTTAATAAAAATTCAATGTTTGACCATCTTTAGTAAGCACTTTCAAAAAATATTTCGTTTCGATAAATCCTTTCGAATTTCCAGCGCAAAGAATAACGCCATTTTCAGATTCAAGAAATATTAAACCATCTTCCTTTGCTTTTCCAAAATTAATATAAATGAAAAGTTCTGCACTTCGACGTAGACCGTTGATAAAATTTAATCCTTTTGCAAAGTGAATATGATTTCTTTTCATACAAGATAAACCTTCAGTTTTTATCTTTGGCCAATAATTAAAATATGTTCCATGAATTATATCAAATTCAATAAGGTCAAGTATTTTTAAACTCAGATTGTTAATTTTGGGTATAGTATGTCCTTGATTTGCCTTGATTTCTAAAATGCCGTTAATTGTTTCAAGGGTAAATCGTTGTTTATTATTTTTCTCTACTATCCTCTTGATGTCGTCAATGGTACACTGATGTAATGATTTATTCAAGAGCTCATTAACTGTAACAAAACCATTTGGTTTAATATTTAAGCCTTCCTTTACAGCTCCATGACGTAGTAGATATGATAATTTTTTGCTGAGAGCAATATCTCTTTTGCTCTGACTCTAAAAATGATATTAATAACAGTTATTAGAGAATTATACAGTTAAATTAAATCAATTATTAAAATTTCCAAACGAATGTCAGTTCTTCTTCTAATTTCTTTATAAGAATAAATATAAATATTTAATAAATTTAACTTTATAAATTTAAATTTATTAATAAAAAATTAATAAAATATTATTACTAACTTATTAATATATATTATTATCATATATTGTTGTTTATTTCAATGCTTTTTAAACAAATTATTCTACTCAATCTATGACTCAATCTACAGTTACATTATGAGTGTTAATTTTATTATTAGGTTTGTACTAATAAAATTGTTTTGCAATTTTAAAAAAATTAAAATTTAATTCACTCATAATTTTCAAAAATATGTTATATTTTAAAATACATAAATTATAATTATAGGATAGTATTAATACATAAATTATAATTATAAAAACAAGAAAAAGCAGAAAGAGATAAAAGGATATAGAAAATTCAATATTAACATATTGGATGTTTTTTATGGCTGAACTAATAAAAACTTGTATTTAAAATGAAATAGATATATATTTGAAATTTGATAAAATTTTAGTAGAGCACAATGATAAAAAAATAGGCTTATTTTTCTAATACATTAACTTTTCATCCAAATATGCTTAATTGTTTATTATTCATTTACTCCAAACAGAAATAAAGATAACAGAAAGCATTTTTAACGGTGATAGCCGCCCTTTATAGGAATATAAACAGTATAAAAAACGAAACAACATATGACAAAAAGTGGAACAAACACTAAAGCAATCGTAAAAAAAACCGCATTCCATTAGAAAATATTTGGCAGTTATTTTTTTAACTGCGATCTTATATTATTGCAATGTTAACATAAGCTGTAATTTTTTAAAAGCGCACAATCTTTCTGCAAATTATTACATCACAACTGTCTAACCTTTGAAAACATGAAACTAGCGTAGCTTACGATGTTACTTCCAGAGACCCAACTCAACCAATCTTTTTCCTATAACAGTGCACAGACGCACATTTCAACGTTTACATTTTTGTCACACGAGATTCCACAATTACGATTGACTGTGACAACAATAATCGCATGTTACCTGCTAATACGTCTCAGCTGCGAAACTGATCATGTCCGTGCGCTATCACGAAAGCGCTGTCTATGTCCTTTCTTTTTTTTTTTTTTTTCCTTCCGGTTGGAGGACGTCGGATATTTCCGACTATGTGTCTTCAACCCTAGGTTATATGACACAGGTTTATCTGATTCCTTTATAAGTTTCTCTGTATCTTGTATTAAATATTAAATGATTCTATTTATTTTTTAAAGTAACTTAGTAAATACACTTACAACACCACCCAATCCAGCTCTCTTATCGCGTCCATTAGGTTAACCTCTCCCCCTACCCCCATTCTCCTCAGCTCCAAGTCCATCCCCACTCTCTCCTCATCATACTTCACACATCTCCACACCACATGCTCCAAACTCTCGCACTCATTACCGCAATCACATCTAGCGTCCTCTATATACCCTTTCCTGGCTAGTGATTCATTCAGATTGAAGTGATTCGATCTGATTCTATTAATCCATACTATAAAATACCTTTCCTCGTTAATATTACCAAACCACAGTTTTCTCCTTTTTCTTTTGTAGAAGTTCTCAAAATAAAATTTTCCTTTGTACTCTGCATCTTTTATGATCTTGTTTTGTGTATAATTCCCGTTTAAAGATACTTCTGAAATCACTATATGGGACCTTGATTTCCTCCGAGGGGAGTTCTTGAGAAGCCTCCTTCGCCAGTTTATCTGCCATTTCATTGCCCATGATCCCTTCGTGTGCAGGGACCCATCCTATAATGATCCTGCATTTCTTGCTGTTTATTATCTTCCTATATAAGGATCTGGCTTTTATTATATACATATTTTTGTATATAATATTTTGTACCTGAAGTAAATTGTTCTCTAAAGCCTGTATAGTTGACATTGAATCAGTGAGAATTAAGTAGTTTTGTCTTTCTTCTATTTTTTCCTGATATATAAGTTTCTAGTATGGTTTTGACTGCAAAAACTTCTGCTGTGAATGATGAACATTCTTTTGGCAGGCTTATATTGTATGCTGTTTCTTGTTCTTCTATAACTAGTCTCACTCCTGTAGATTTACTCTTTCTCCCCCTGGAGCCATCAGTGTACTTGATAGTACCTCTGATTTTATTGTTTTCTATGATAGTTTCGATCAGCTGTCTGTCTGTGTGAATTTTCTTTTTCCATTGTTTCGCTGTGTATTTGTCTGTTTCCAATTCCTCAGTGATTTCCTCGTAATCTGTCTCAAAAATCTCGAATTTTCTACCTTCTCCTGCGTGTTTCTTTAACCATTTTATCCTCGACCAGGCATTTCCCAGACAACTTTTGTTCGATGTGGGTCTGATATAGCGTTCATAGTTTTCATTTGCCTCCAGTTGATCTATTCTCAATCTCATCTCTTCATTTCCATATATCATTGTTTTTAAAAGAAAATTCCTCGCTAGCATTTCTGCTCTATCCTGTAACAACATAACTTTTGATTCCGCTATAATTACATTATTCGGTGTGCTATTTCTGTAACCTAATGCTGTCCTGAGACCTGCATATTGAGTCCTTTCCATTACCAGCCTTTGGTTGGCTTCTCTAGGGAAGTAAATAAATAGACCATAGTCCACTACTGACCTTACTATACTTTTATATAACAGCAGTGCCGTGTTGACTTTCATACCTCTTCTTTTTTTATTTAGATATTTCATGAGACCGTTAGCTTTCTTAACCTTACTTCTGACCAGGTCAACCTGATGATGGAAGTTAACCTTGTTGTCAAACCATAGTCCAAGAAATCTTGCCCCTACGCTGTTCTGTATGTCCACCTCTCCTAACTTTATCTTCACTTTATCTTCACTTTTTTATCTCGTACTCCCTGCTTGTTGAATTCCACCAGAACCGTTTTCCTTGGCTCTAATTCCAGTCCCAACTTCTCCAGTCTGTTGGCCAGATGGTTGGCCGACTCTTGGATTGCGAGAGTGTTTGTCTCTGTTTGTACTTGTGATGTACATAGCAATATCATCTGCAAATTGAATTGTTCGTATTCCCCTTCCTAGCTCCTCAGTAATATTCCTCGTATATATTGAGTACAGCAGTGGGCTCAGCACTGCCCCCTGCGGTAGACCTTTATAAACCCTTCTATCCACAGTTTCTTCTCCAGATACAATAAACTGGGTATACCTGACCCTACTCCACGCGTACACAAATCTTACTATGTCACTGGGGCATCCTATCTCTTCCAACTTCTCAATGAGTATGTTTAAATCTACGTTATCGTAGGCCGCGGTTACGTCTACAAATAGCGCTGTGGTGTATTCCCCTCTGAAAAATCCATTCCTGATGTCAGTGGTGATTTGCGTCAAATTGTCGGCACAAGACCTTCCTCTTCTGAATCCATTTTGATCCCTGTTTATTAAATTATTCTTTTCTGCCCACCATACCAGCCTTTCGTTTACCATTCTCTCCATTACTTTACCTATACAAGACGCAAGAGCTATCGGTCTGATCTTCTCCTGCCCTGGCTTGTCGATGAAAATCACCTGATATTCCTGCTCTTTGGCAGCAAATTCCTCTTACATATATCGTTAAGTACCACTAGCATTTCATGTTGCATTCTATGTGGCAACAACTTGATCATGTCATACTCGATACCGTCCCTTCCAGGTGCTGTATTCTTTCTTATCATTCTTAATGCTCTTTCCCATTCCGCTGCTGTAAAATTGTCCTTCCATCTCAATCTCTCCTCCCGTTCTTTTCTAATTTCCATCGGTGGATTTTCCACAGACGGGGGAGCTAGTTTTTCTATCATTTCTTTTATACTTTCCTCTCTGTTCCTGCTCTTCCATTTGTTCCATTCTATCTTCGCTTTGCAATTCCTGAATATCCTCATCGTATTCCATACATAATTCATACTTATGTTCTTGTTAATAGATTTGCAGAATGATTCAAAGTTCTGTGTCTTTTTAATTTGATCACTTTTCTCGCTATGGCTCTGCACCTCTTGTATTCTATATATGCATGCATCGTTCCTTTTCTAACAAATTTCTTTTGTGCTTTTTCCTATTTCTAATCACTTCTTCGCATTCTTCGTCCCACCATTTAACTGGGATTGATCTTTTATTATTTATCTTATTATTTTCATTTTCTTTCTTGTTACCTCTTCTCCTCGGGGTGATCTCTTCTATGGCCATTTTCATACTTTCACATAGCAGATTATATCTTATCCGTGTGTCTTTATCTCCTGAATCCAAATTTAATGCTTTCCTTGTTTTTTCCCAGATTTCGGTAACCTTTCTACTATACTCATCCCTCATTTTGTCTTACTAGATGAGATTCTATTCGTCTTTTTAATGTAGTTAGTGATCTCATAGTCCATTATAATTGGGTAGTAATCTGAGTCCCAGGAGTCCTGTAACTGATATGTCCTTATATTATCCAGATCCTCGATTGGTCCTAGTATTAAATCTAAATTGTTAGACGTTTGGTCTACCATACCCATTCTGGATTTTGTATCTTCATTATAACATACCAAATCCCTCTCACACATTATCTCACACATGTTTTCACCATTTCTATCTGTATCTCCGCAGTTCCAGATAGTATTATGTGCATTGAAGTCTCCGACATAATATGTTTTGTATGTATTTTCGTTGTTTGTGAATATCTTTCGCCATGTGGATTTGCTCAACCTAATACCTGGTCTCCTGTATACCGCGACTATGTTGACTTTTTCTGAAAAATTCTTTATCGTAATGTCCAACCTTTCCACCGATTCATGTGTATCCTTCTGGCACTTTAAAATATCGAATTCTAGTCTATTGTGTATCACCATAGCTATTCCTCCTTTACTGTCTAAATTATCTGTTCGATATGTTTTGTAGCCTGTAAAATAAATTGGAGCGTTTTTTGGTTGTTTAGTTTCCGTTATAACCGCTATATCATAATTTCCTATTCTCATGGCCAATTCTTCTTTTTTATTTCTGATCCCTCTACAATTCCATACTAATATTGTGACTGGGGCCATTATGTATGAGTATGATAAAATAGCAACTTAATTATTTTGTAAAAGAAAAATTACTCTAAATAAAAATTTTCGTAGTGGCCTTTCTTATAAAACAACGATAATAAAATGTAAAACAAATAAAATAAAATTAAAAATGTAACTAAAATAAAATAATCTGAATAAAATAATCTAAATAAAATAATCTGAAAGTATAAAAGTTTAAAAAATAAAAACAAAAACAATAGCAGTTGAGTATCAAATTCTGCAGTGCTTACTGAGAATGTCAGTCTTATGGATTGACTATAATTCTAATTGTACTATGAAACGTAATGATTATGAACTACTATTACTAATCTTATTGTCTAATAATCTTTAAAATTTATCTGTTGTATTTTGTAGAAGATCTAAGTTTTTTAATCTTGTTATAAACTATATAAAAACAATAAACGATTCTTAGTTTAACTCTTAGATTCTAATGCTATGATATGTCTTTTGAACTATTCATTGTCCTTCCAAAAATCCTGTCTCATTTTTTCTACTATCCTGTTTTCTCTGTATTTTCTTTCTTCTCTGTATATCCTGTTTCTATCTCGTATAATGTTCTTCTGGTGTTGTTCCTTATCTTGCTCTCCGTTCGTCTGGTCCTCTCCTTCCCAACTCTTGTCTCGTTTAAGCTCATCAAGTGCCTGTTCCAAAAGGGATTTCAAATCCCAATCCTTATCCACTGTCACCAACAGTCTGGCTATGAATTCCTTTCTTTTTTCATTTTCTGTAATCAATGTCTTCCCTATTGAGTAGCCCTCCTGTTCATTGCTAGGGAAGTTTGTCGAATTTCCTTCCTTCTCATGTGTTAATGCAATTCCTCTCTTTTCCTTTGTAATTTCCCCCTCTCTCGTGTCGAACTGTGCATAGTAATTGGTCCTCATAGCAGGTACCTTTGTCCTTCTTCTCCCGTCCTCCCTCTTCTTTTCCCGTCTTAAGAATCCGGAATTGTTAGGTATGGTAGGTCATCGCTGCTTGTATCATCTGCACCTCCCGTTTCCCCTTCCATTCCTTTTCCTTTTCTGTTATTTTCTTTACCTATCATTTCATCTCTATACAGAGGTTTCTGCCTCTGATTCGCCCTCTGTCCTGGTCTGCTAAGAAGTGGCCAATTATTTGGTTTTTCATACCTGTCATAGATCTCTGTTGGACCTTCCTCGCTACCTTCCAGGATTTCGATGGCTTCTTTATACGAAGCATTATTGTATGCCATCACTTTTTTAATCCTTTGGTTTCTTTCATAAACATCGCATTTCCTGTCTGTAGATTTATGTCCCTCTCCACAATTGCGACACTTTGTTGGTTTGTCGCAATGGCCGTGTGCTTTTTCACCGCAGTTGATGCAACATTCTTCGCTCTTGCAATGTATTTTTCTGTGACCGTATCTGAAGCACTTATAACATTGCATTACTGGGGCCACATATGATCTTACTCTTAGTACGGCTAAATCGTTGAAGAAACTTATCTTGTCCCTGGGCTGGTTTCCCTTAAAAGTAATTATCACCGAATCAACCGGCTCGAATTCTACCTTATTCTCCTCCTTGTTCCATCTTCTTCTCATCATTCTTTCTATTCTTACGACATCCTCTGGTTTTGTGAGTAAATCGTAGAAGTCCATGATTGAGTCCAGGTATAACGGTACAACACCTTTGAAGCACGTGTCCCGGTTTTCTATTCCCGCTCTGTATCCGTCTTTTTCTTTGTCTTCGTTAATCTTCTTAATAGCACTGTTCGCGTCTATTGGATTTAAAAAAACAATGTAGCCATCTTAAATCCGTTCATCATTATACGTTTAGGGTATATTCTTTTATCTTTTAGCATGTGCATAATCTTAAAATAGTTGCTACCTTTTTTGGCTGTGCCTGCTCTTTCCATTATCCTAAGTGTGACTTTGTAGTTACTTCTGAAATTTTCTTCGAATTCCAGTCTCCTACTAACCTTAGACACATCAATCTCACTAATGTGCTTAAGCACACCATCCTCCCTCACGTATGCTTCCCTCTTCCTTTGCTCATTACTCGTTGTCATATTGTTCATATTATTTGTCTGTTGTATTTCGCTACTACTTACTGACTGCGAGCCTTTGTTACAGCCCGCCGTTGGTAACGTGTCTCCTTCCCCCTCCGTTTCCATTTCTTCTTCCGATTGGTCCTCTCCTATATCACGTGTCTTCGAGCCATTCGGGTTGTTAGTTTCTCCCGCGCACTTCTCAGTCTGTGAAAATTGTTTTCTTGCCTTCTTCTTTTTTCTTTCTACAGTTTTCCATTCTTCGTTCTCATTCTCAGTGTTCGTCGCATCTATCATCAATTGGTCCAACGTGTCTTCCGTCGCTGGCCTTTTTCCTTTGTTACTTTCTTCATTCATTTCCACGTTTAATCTTGCTTCGAGCCTCCTTATTGTCCTCTTTAGTGTCTCATTCTCTCTCAGTGTCAAGCTTATACTTTCCCTTCTCTCCTCTCGCCGCCCCTCTCCCGGGGGCTCCTCGCAATCCTTTATTTCTTCTATATTGCCCTATTGATGTTCCCGTTCCTTAATATATCCTACTATTGCACATCAATCTATACCTATTAAGCTCTGAAAAGAGCTGATTTACCTATTCCGAGGGTTTCTAACACTAAAAAACTGCCAGACACCACTCGAACACGTCCGCACCACTCCTCCTTCTTTTTTCTTCTATTTGCGAGTTCCTGGCGCCCCTATTTTTGACGCGTCAGAAAACACAATTGTCCGATATTGTAATTTCTGACAAATCTTTTATAATACGGTTTCAACTATTTCGCATATTAGAGAATGTGCCGAATACAAAGCTGATTCTTGATCCGGGAATTGATCTTTCGCAAACGCGAAACGAGCATACACATATTTTGTTAGTGCGTAAGCCACAAGCTATAAAAATTGACCAATCACAGTCGAAGATTCTTCAAGAGTTAGTAGGCTTGTTTTTAATGAGTTTCGGAAAGCAACAACATGTGGGTGGACTGTAGATTTAGGCTACGATCAATTACTACATTTACACGGCGACGTTAAACCGATTTAGTAACAACCGCAGTTAATGATTTCCTGCATTTAATTGGAGCACATTTTTAGATTTAAAAGAATACACCAATCGAACGCAAGATTTCACTAACTACGGTTGTTATTACCAGTTTAACGTCGTCGTGTAAACGTAGTAAATGTAACACTACAAATGCTTCGAAGCGTTTGATTGTCCAATCAAAACAAAGAATTTTACTAATGCAAAAAATGCTTCAAAGCATTTGTAGTAAAGCCAGCCGCACACGCATGCTTTTTTTCCTGCTTGCTAGCTAAATTTGCGTATTTGCTGAGCTCTTGTCTTCGATTGGTATATTTTTTTAGATCTAAAAAACACGCGAATCCAGCTAGCAAACCAGCAAAAAAAAGCATTGTGTGTCACTGACTTAAGTCCTTGACCATACCCTTAGACAATGGTCTAATTTACACCGAAGTCTTCAATTCGATTTTATTTTGGTATGGATCAAATTTAATATGCTGTTTCCATCGGAAGTAAAGATTTATGGATCGAAGTGGGATTGAAATGAGCAATTTGTCGCGTTTCCATCGATTCAAATCTATGTCATATTAGGAGCGAATTAAGATAGTGGTAGAAACTAGACCAATAATTCCTTAATAGACGATTGTCGAAATTTTACAAAATTACATTTGTAAATTAGAAAAAAATGTTTTAATGTCTAATTTTTTTAAGACAGATATTTAGTGTAATTATTTAAAAAAATTTTTCCTTTTTAGAAAATATTACACACGTAGGATAAAAAACTAAAATAAAAGATTAAAATGGAAAAAATATAACAATTTTAAATTCAATTGTTTCATTTGAAAAATTAGATCGCAACAATTGACTTTTGTTTTCTCTTTTGCTTGTAGATTACTGTAATTAAAAACATTTAATTATAATAATGTATCTTAAATTTAAAATATTTTTATATAGGAAATTTCTTATCTAAATTATCGAAATATTTCATTTACAATATAACTTACTAACAACTTAATTACTATAACAAATAATTATATTTTTGTAATATCGAGTGATTTTTTTATATTTGTATCTTGATGGCAAAGATTAAATATATTAAAAGAAAGAATATTGAAGATTTTTCTGTATCTCATTCAGTGTGTAAAATTTTAATGATTTATAGAATGAAACATGAATTTCATATCTTAAAATTCAATTTGAATAAAAAAAAAATATCGATATAATAATAAATAAATTAATATTACATTATAAGCTAAATTGTTCAAAATTTTAACAATTTTATACGTGGCCACGCGAACTCTCGTCAGATCATTTAACAATATTTCGTCGATGCAAATAGTTTTGAATTGATAAAATTCAAATATACGCGCGCGCGCGAGTATCGATAAACCTCGACTGTCCCATGGTGCCTCGCGCGAGCAACACGTGCAACAACTTCGTGGCGAACAACTGCGCAACGTTGCCTCTCGAGGATGTCGTATGCGTCTAAAATTTCTTTCGGTCTATGTTGCATGGCGTCCATTGGCATAATAGGCTACGTGCATTACAAGCAGTCGTACGACAGGTAGATATAATCGCGTCTCCACAACATTTTCGTTGTTATCACCAGCTAAACCGTGTCGCCGTTGTTTCAGGGAACAACTTCACTTGGGTGTAGTACGCGACATCGAACGACGGGAACGCCGAAAAGCGGAAAATGTCTACATTCTGCAGCAGCAAGCCGAGTTAACGAAGGAACTGCAAAGGGGAGAGGCACTGCGTGAGAACGATACGTAACGATTGACACGCGTGATTGTTAACTTTGTTATTCGAGGATTTTCATAAGGAATAAAACAGCTGTGTGTAAAATATCTTTGATATCGCTCGGTTTTCACTCCATTTCGTATATGCGCGTCGAGCACCTGTTAAGTGTCCTCCTCTGGGAACATTTGAGTAAATTTACAGCTTTTGCGCGGGCATTATGGCTGCCGACGAAGCGGTGGAACAACCGGGTAAGTTTAGAATCTTACAAGGAGAATGTAACTGTGAGACTTATTATTTTTGGAGGTACTATTATCTACTGTTTATATATGTGTATGTATGTATATATATATATATATATATATATATAAAAAGTTATATTTTGAAATATAATTAAATATATTAATAATATGTAATATGAATTTACTTATCTGTAACTGTTTTAATAAGTGAATACAACTTTAAAAAAATATCTTTAATTATTATGCAGTTATATAATAATTTTGCGAGAAAATAGAATATTCTTGAATTATTGTAAATATGTTATATTATTATGTTTTAAATAGAATATAGAATATTTATGTTTTATTTTTTTATATGCTATATTTATCTATTTATTTTACATTTTTACTTTATAATAGAATATAAAAATTAATTTTGCATTAAATAGAATTCTATTGTATATAAAATACTGTATGAGTTAATTTCTTAAAGTTTAGGTTAAATATTTAATTATATTGGAAACTGAATAAATTACATAAACAATATGCATAAAATAATACTAATGTAATAAAAATATTTCAATTACAAAGAGTACTAAAGCAGTCAATTTTTATTTTATAGATTTATCTTGCATAGAGGAGAATCTCATGAGCTTAGAGAAATTGGATAGAGCATCTCCAGATTTATGGCCTGAGCAAAGTGAGTACATTTTTCATTTTTGAGTCATGTATACACAATACATCATATATGTAGCGAGCAATGAAGTTCCAGGTGTACATGAGTTTGTTGCTCAAAATTCACCGCAGACAGAACCATGTTTTTGGGCTGCGATGTCGCAGGATGACATAAGCCATGTGCATCGTGAGTTAATATGCATTAACATACATTTCTTCATCTTGTTGCTAAATACCGTAAAATATTTTCTTGCAGAACTGGGTAATTTGTCAATGACCGGGCTTATCTCGGAAGTGAAAAGACTGCACGATTTGGCTTATCAGCTGGGTCTAGAAGAGGCTAAGGAAATGACACGCGGAAAATATTTGAATATATTTAAACATAAATAACTTATTTTAATTTGCAAACAAAAATTTATAAATGCAATATTATAATTGGCGTTTAAAAAAAATAGATATTTTTATATTTTTCCGAACTTAAGAATTCTCCAAGATCCATCTTGTGTATCTCTGTACATTTACAAAAGCGGATGGAAAAATGGTGCTTGAGTCACAACTAGACCCATATGATAGGACTCCAACCTGATTAAAAAGAAAGGAAAAACATAAATATGTGAACTACACGTATCTGTAGTATATATAAATATTTATGTTGGTAACATACCAGGAAATATGTGTCCGCATATCTGTATAACAGAGGACTACCACTGTAACCTGAGCAAGGTTCACAGTTGCCTTTGGCGCATAATTCGACAGATAGAGCTTGGCTTAAATAGTCCGAGCACTGCTGCTTAGGTACGAGTTCTAGTTGTAATGACTGTTGCGTCAATGGTTGCGCTGAATCACAGGGTTACAGCATTTGAACATTACATAAACACAGCTTACAATTTATGCTTTAGTTTGTTCTATTAATACCTTTTTGACCTGACAATTTTCCCCAGCCGACGACAGTGCATGTACTTCCTAAGCTGACGTATCTGTCTTCCGGTATAAAGCAGATTGGTTGAGCTGTGGCTGAAGAAGATCGGATATCTTGCATTTCATTGAGATTGTGATCGTCACAGCGCCTTCAATACGTCATACATTTAAGAATTGTACATACCTGTAAAATCGATGGCCTTCTTCAAGCGAAGTAAGGCGATGTTGTTGGAGAAACTTGCGGCGTCGTAGCCCGGATGTTTTATTACGTACGATATGTCGTGGCTACTGGTATTGCGTCCGCAAAATAACTTATTGCAATCTGGATCCGTCTCTGTATTATATTCACCAATAAGCACAGAGCATCTAAACACGAACGAGGATTATCGTAATTATTGCATGCTACAATATTTAATGCTGTTATACGATCGAAAATCTGAGTAACGATAATTCGTTATATTTTATTTTCGACTGCTATACGTACAATTTGTATCTGTCCGACTTCGCGAGTGCGCATGTAGTTGTAGTCAATACAGTACGCTCATTAATAATCACGCCATTGCACGAGTATTTGATTTCACCCGTTAATGTATCTAAAAGAGAATTCTTGCTAACAGAGTTTGAAAACGCATGTCTTATATAATAAAAGAAATACATCTATCTCTTTTCTCTCTTTTTCGTCCTTCGAATAGACGAAATTGTATATAATTTGTTATATACACGATGTCGCAAAATTTTTTTCGCTATGCATTTTCATTGAAAAATTTAGAATTATTAATATACGAAAGTTGTGGCATTTTATTTTCGATATTATAGTACAGATAAAATTGACAGATTTTGAGACATCCTGTATGTTACACAATTTCCGTACAAGCATTTCTGTATACGCGCAAAGAGAGGAGAGTACTTGCTTATAAAACCGATTCTTGCGACAAAAGGATATGATCCTAAATCGTCTATGTCGTTTCGAACAATGCTCTTTCCGCATTGAAAGTTTGAAGATGATTGCGTCGGATATATAGCTATCTGGTTTCTATCTGGATATATCGGCTGTTCGGTGTAACTTTCAACGCTGCAGCAGACTTTTATGCGTGTCCGATCGTACCCGCACACAGCTTGTCGCAATCTACGTTTTAAAAAAACATAAATACACACACACATACATATACACGCGTCCTTTCAATGTAGAGGGACAACGACTACGTTACCTGTGAGCGGAAAGTGAGTTTCGATCCATTAAGGACACGATCGTTGAGCAGTGCTCGATAAACGCGCATTTCTGATCACTGGGACAAGAAAGAGAGTTATTTTGGCACATATCGTACTGATACCAAGGATACTCGCATAGCCCCAAAGTTACGACCGGCAGTAAAAGCAGTAAAAGCAACAGGCAGCACATTTTTCGGATATAAATGTAAACGAGATGATCGCACTCTCCTGAATGAAAATAAATATTCTCTAGTTCCGTAGCAGAAATCTCGACGGGCGATTTCGAGAAGCGAAATCCGGTAAAACGATTCTTTCCATGAAAGGAGTATGTGAAGTCAACTTTTTAAAGGGATTATCGTTCTCCCTTTTTCCGAGTTCGTTAGGTTTTTCATACAAAGACGCGACGGATTGATGAAAGCAGGTCTCGTAGTCGCGTTTAGTATTCGCGACCAGCATCGTCTGTACCGAATGATGAACTGATTGCATCGCGCACCTGTATGTACGACAGACAATTTCGTTTCTCGGTTACCTTGACTAGAGCATTATTCGCACATCCGGCGGAACTGAGATGATCACGCGAAAAGTATATGTATTATGCGATTAATGCGCGAACTATGTTATGCGGTTTATCTAGATTCCTTGAGAAGGTAACAAAGGGTTGATGTAATCACATCCTTGGTGCCACGCTTAGCTGATTACAATGAAGTAAATTATTTTTTTATTCAAACGTTACGGTGAATTCACGTAGCGGAGCAACATTATTTAATGAGACAAGAAACTATCTCGCTCTCCGTTTCTATGAACCTGATGAAAAACTGAAGAATAGAAATCTTGTAAGATGTTCGCACTTTTTTTATTAGACACTGTCTAATTACTTATTTTATGTATAAAATTTGTTGATATCCGTACAACTGGTAACTAGATAAAATCGTAGAGGCAGAATAAATTATTAAGTACTATTGGTACAAAAATTCTTCTTTTGCTGGTTGGGACATGTGCTATGGATACCTCGATGCGTTAATGAATCTTAATTTGTATATTTCTTCAATCCTCGCGCGTGAATAGGAAATATTTAACAATGTGAATTCCGTCTTTCGTTCCATTCGATCGCGGTCTCAATGATGCCGGACGACCGGACGAAATCGACGGCAACGATATTGGCGGTGCGTTGCCATTTGCTATTGTACCAATTCGTAACATTGATATTAACTTTCTCCGCCATTTGACGGATACTCCCAAGCCGGTTTAAGATTACGTCCCACGTGTTGGGCGTTAATTCTGCCATCGCCGATCTTGGTATCGTCCTAGAATGTCTGAAACAAGAAACTTCGCAGCTTAGCAATATAATTAGAACTATAATTAGAACTAACTAAAGTATTTGTGAAATTAAAAATAAGCACATAATGAAAATTATTTTAAATAGTTTTATTTTAGTTGACTGTTTGGCAGCAGCCAAACTATTTAACATACATACCCCAGATTTTCCGTTTCAATGCGATTCAAATAATTGAACAAATCTTCTATAGTTCTGACATTTCCCCATTGATGTGTTACGCACGGCCAAACGCTTTCGTAGCGGCTGACAACTCGTCTATCATCATAACCGATGATGAGTCTTTTTCCAGACGACCAAATTGTATTTAGCGTACTGGTCCACCCGTAACTCTTCGGAAGATAGTATCCGGCAAATTGTTCCTCGAGGAACCCGACGAAATTGTGATGTATCCCCAGATTTTTCCCAAAACCTAACATTGTCATCATCATCATCATCATCATTATCAGTAAATGTTTTCACGTAAATAAGAAATATTTATAAATCCTAATTATTATGAGTTACATAATAAATTTTGCTATTGTTGCTCGTTATTAATTGGGGAAACAAACGGCAAGTTATGCCATAAGATTTTGTGTTTTTGTATTTCGTTTCTGTGCTATATTTGTGATCTGTTATGTTTAAACAATCGACATGAATTGAAAAGTGTCTCTATTTAATGATAAACATCTTAAATATCTTCAGCAGATCTGACCCTTTTGATTGCGTTGTTTTTATAATTTATTCTTTAACTCTTGTATTATATAGAATGAAATATTTTGTTGCATCATATACACACATGAAATCTAGTATTAAATCATACATCTTTTGAATCGATTTTCTTTATTTGGGAGAGCGTCTCGGTAACTTTACGTATTTTGAAAAGCGCAAAAAGAAATATTGCGTTCGTGATATTTTACCATTTTACCACTTGATCAAATTCGGATGATTTAAATTTAACAATTTAAATATATTACCAACTGGAAATTCCTGGACGTCGAATATCACGATCTCGTTCGTGTTGTCCAGGAAAGTCTTCACCTGGTTCACGACAGTCTGCATGGGAACAGACTTGAATACTCCGTGATTCGCCCACCATACCGAGTTGGTGTTGGGGTAGTGTCCGACTCTGATATCGAGATATCTGACACCATAGATCAGTTGCGCGAGCACGTCCACATCCTGCAGTTTAATTATCCTAACGATTACCAGCAACGGTTATTCCATATTTAATTCTTGTCCGTCACTCTAATGCGTAAGCTCTCTTTTAATGTCGCCTGAATATTTTCACCAATTATTCGAGCACGACAAACGTTCTCGTTATTTGAATCGATCGGGAGAATGCAGAGATGGAGATTGATCTTGCGGCCATGCGGACCATTTGGTTTATCTACGCGAATATTCGAATTTTGTAATATATGATAAATCAGAAATTTACCTGCGTTATCACGTATCTTTCAACGATATTTTCGGAATTTTTCTGTTCGTGTATCGCGTATGACGCAGAATCGTGCGTACCCGGTAGGAATACTCTGCTCATGGGCAACGACCCTAAGATGACCCTCCTCTCCGTCATCCAGTGAGGCTGCGTTTGTAGACAATTTGTTAGTCTTATCGTGCCGTTTCTCAGCCAGGCAACATGATATTCTATCAAAAGAAAATTTTATTTTAAACTCAGATATACCAAAGATATTGCAAGGAAAAAATAATAGATCGAGTAATAATTGTTTTTTTCGTCGAGATTTTAAACGCAATTAATCTTGATAAATTCAGATGGATGAACACTACACTTTTTATGTGTAATGTAAATAAATAAAAATAGGTTTTTATAATTACTGTAATATAAAAGTCATTATATATCGTCTGACAATAATTACAAATTTTTTTGTAATTATTATGTATTTATATTCACTATTTGCACATGTTGAGAAAATTATGTTGTAAAATAAGCAAAAAGTAATACATTACTATTATCATTATTCAAGAAGTAACAAGTCAATGATAAGACATTTTTACTATTATTTAAATATTAAGAATAAGTTATTAACATAAGAAATATTTTCTAAAGATTTTTTATTCTAAAGACTTGTTATTGTTGTAACACAAATAAAAATAATAAAATTTTGAATTTTTTACTTGCATCGCCAAAAATTGTAAAGAAAATCTTTCTGCTAAACATGGAAATAATGTTGCGATTTTCCAATTTTTTAAATTTTTATATTCATAAAATATAATTAATACTTTCTTTATATTTTATATTTCACATATCTATTTAAAAATTTTGATTTTATGTCAGAGTTAACGCACAAAACTCCACAAGGACAAAGATTATATCTAATCAAAGTTAAAAGACAAGTTCGTCTTGGAATTTTTTTGTTAATTTTTAAAACGATCTGACACCATGAAGATATTCTTTCAATGATGCTACAGTTTCCAAATATATAAAAATCAAATGAGTCCCAAAGTATAATGATATAAAAGTAATTTGTTAAATTTGCTGAAAGAAAATGCGGCTACATTACTATTCTTATTACAAGCAGAAGAAAGCAATGTCGTTATCACTTTGTTAGCGAAAATGTGCTTGATTAAATATTTGATGACGCATATGCTTGATTAGTAATCTGTATTGGAATTATGTAACTGCGATATGCATGTATACGTACAATTATACGTCATATACGTACGTAGACATTGCTGAACGAACGTGAGACTCGAGGTGGGAATGAATGTGGCCTGCAATCCGGTCCTCTTGATACCACTCGGCGCGTTTGGTATCAGGGTATAAATTGGCTCGAGGCCATTCGTGGGCTCGTCCATGTAAAGAGCGATTGTATCGCCCGGTCGATACCTGACGTGATTCCAATAAATCTCTATCTCCCGTATCATTCGAATGGACATTATGGGTGAGATGATCAGGCCGATATGCGCGCGTTGGAAATCTGAAATGGGGGAAACAGGTGTTTTCGGTGCAAGGACACTCGGCGAAATACATGATGATACATGGTCTGGTGCGATAATCTGATAACCATAATCCCTCGGAATAAATCGGAGCATTACATTTTGTAAGAGGAGACGAGACGTGTATATAACGATTACGTAAGTCACAATAAAAAGTGTGCTTCTTTAAACTTAATCGAAAAGTTCTCTCATTGAATTATTATATAATATGCAATAAAACGATATGAAAATACGAGGATTCAATTCGATTGCTTTATAGATTGCGTGAATAATGCAATTTGTCATGCTATTGCTACGGTGCGATTTTAAAACTCACCGTCTCCCGTTTCTGGACCACAAAATCTCGCGGTCGACATGGAGTCAACGATCGTTAACCATGAGAAAAAAGCGGAAAGAATCGCAAGCAGCTTCATCTTCATGCACGAGTTAACGCGGAGAATCTTAGTAAACAATATTTATCCACCTCTCCGACACATTCTCTTCTTGATGCTTCCACGACCGTTTCAATTCTTTCCACGAAGCCAACCAGCTATAAACTGTTGCAAAAAACGTCACCTTCACCTTCGATCCTGGTTTCTTGTACAATACCGAGTTTAAAAATTTATTACCGTTAAGAAACTTATTTAAGACAATTGTCTTGAATAGGAAATCGAATTGTATTCAATAATACATTATTTACGATAACAAAAATAATAGGAAAAATAAACGGCTAGTTTTTGTTCACGTTAAGTATATAGTTCCGCATTCCCAGCTTATTTTTATCAATACTGTACCGATAAATGTAACTATTATTCCTATTCTGAACTATATTTAATACTTTTATAGTTCTGAATTGATATGCCAATAGATATGCCTGCCTATAATACATTTAATCATAATAACAATGCACTGTGCTTGACAATCGCGAGACACGTAGCAAGTCTGATTAATTCTAACGAACGTTCTTTAATTAAATTTATTAAAATTTATTCTTCACGTTTTTATGATTATAGGAATTTTATACAACAATAATAATGTTAATGTCGAAATAAGATAAATATCTTTGAAATTTCAAGAGAGTTTCTATAAAAATGTAGATTACCTAATATTTGCACATTTCGTAATCTCGTTAGAAGTTTTTGTTTACTCAACCGTTACGTAATTAATAGAAATTAATTCTATAAAATTAATTCTATCTTTTCATACATTTTATGTAATTATTGAGTTTTAACATACTTACTTTGCGTATGAAAAACAAAGGTCGGAAAACGGAGCAAGTTTACAGACAACTTAATTTACAGCGCGCTATTTGTAATTAGCCGCTTGGGAATTAATTACGGGAATTAATAAAGTAAACGCGCCACAGACATGGCATGTATAATACGATAGTCGTAAAGTAACGTACCTATGAGATAAAAGTACGAACATCAAGTATACATGCGCGTTGAAAATAAGCGTAATAAACTTTAGCGTTTATAGCAATATATTCATTCTGTACTTCTTTTTTATCGGCGATAAAGAAGTAAACTGAGGATACCGATCAGTAACATCACGTTACGTTAGACGGTAATGTCACGTTTAAAGTTACGAGATCGTAAAAATCGTAAAAGTCGTAAAAGTCGTAAAAGAAATATATTTACTCGTTTAATTGCAATATAAAACAATCGATCGGCCTATCGCGTGGATCGCAGTTTCTAGAACCTTGTCGCGATTCGATGCGCTGGTACTTCTCTCCGTTGATAGAGCGTAACTGATCGCTATACGTGCCGCCAAGTCAAGTTGTGGACAAGTTCAAGAACGTGGATGTGATGATCGCGATGACGATGGATTTATAAAATATATAGTCGCTAAGCAAAACCATCCGCATCGATCGCGAAACATCGAACGCCAGCCTGTTTATCTCTCCGTTCCGCCTCTAATCGCGGTTGCACAAGCTCTCATTTTTTTTTTTCTTTTCAATCTTATTGCGACGTCGCAAACGTATTTTTTTTTTACACATCTCGCGTCGTTCTTGGAGAAAAAGAAGGCGAAGATGGGGGGGAGGACTCTTCTGCGTAACGTAATTTTATTTAATGTCTATTACGCACGGCGAGTTGTCCTGATAAAACAATCAACGAGATGGGGATTTTCTTAAGATTTTTATCCGAGAATTTTTTTTTTTTTTTAATATTTCTCCGTGAGTTGAAGAAAGCGGTATCATGAAGAAAGAAGAGTTCAGTCTTCTTAGTTGTCTTCTAACTTGAGAATTTGCTTACGCAGCTTTGCGATTGGTCCCGATCGAGATCTCGTTAAAACTCGAGAGGAAGAGGCGGTGAACACCTCCTACCCTTCCAGGAAATTACACGATATTTCCGCGTGCCGCGCCGACATCGAGTCGACGTCGGATAAGAAGGCAGGAGCAGAGAGGAGGGGGAGAGGGGGGGGGAGGGGAGATCCTTACCATGAATTTATCGCGAAGTTGGCTTAGCTGACTCCGCCGGTCGGAATCCTCGACGGCCCGTGTCCTTCGGCGGAGAGAGAATCGGAGTAACGCGTCGTCGTTCCCGTCGATAATCGACGACGAACGCGCTGAAAAAAGCCGCTGATTCGAAACGCTACAATGCCAATGCGTGAAACTATGCGATTCGGTATCACGCAAACTTCAACGACGGCGGCGGCGGCGGCGGCGGCGACGGCGGCGGCGACAGTGATGACGGCTCTCCGCTGCGCACAGCAAAAATGCTTCTTTCTCGGAATCGGTCGGAACAGTGTGCACGTGGGGTGAATATTGTAGCGGTAGTATAATTAAAGACCGCTACGGAGAGAAAAAGAAGGAGACGGAGTTCCCCGTCGAGGGGATAGTCATCGGTGGCAGAGAATTTCTCGGCTCTCTTGAAGAGAAGAAAGAAATGTAAGGAAGACACGCGAAAAGAAAAAAAAAGGGAGAAAAAAAGAAAGAAAAGAGAGGAAAAAAAAGAGAATATAAAAATGGTGAAAGAAAGGCGCAAGAAAAAAGAGGACCAAGAAAGAGAAGGAGAAAACAAATTCGCCGTCTATTACGACGTATAAAGTCGCATGAACTGTGATCTTATATTGTTCTACTTTTTATAACGAACACACATCAATTATACTTACTGTTTATTAAATATAATTAACTTACAGGGGAGGAGGAATACAGTTAAATTATGTTACTAAAGAAAGATCTCTCTTATGACTTTATAATTTAATGTACCTCTCTCTTTTCAAATAGATATTGTATGATGAATAATATCTTTTTAACGAATTGTAAAAAAAAATAACTTAATTTTTGAACGAAGGTTATTAAATGGACGCGTAAGTAATAAGTAACAGTAATCGGTTCGGTTCATTTCATTTAGAATGTTATCGTTTCATGTGTATTCGCATTTCACAGTGTAATAATGGTTTACGATACACGTATGAGATCATAAATGTTTTTCCATCGAGCGAGTTGCCGGTATGCAAGAGTCATTAAGCAAAAAGTGTTAAACAGACCTTGAAACGTATTCCGACTGTAAATTTAACGTTAATGAGAATACAAGAGTATTTGCGTCGCCTTCCGTACTCGTGAATTATCTTCAAACATTAGCTAATCCATGAAATTTATATTATGAGTTATTCTTAAAAGGATCCTAATTCTATTTTTTTCTTAGGAAGAAATATCGAGATTATCATTTATTGTGTATTCTTTATTTTTATATTATAATGTAATGTATTTATGCATCTTAAATTAAAATTTTCTACAAGTAGATTCTGAGATTAATGAAAAGATAGATTTTTTTATTTAGCTTCCTAAAATTTAAGAAAGAGAAAAGTCTTTCTCTTTGAATGTAATTTTAGAATTATTCGATAAGAAAAAAACGATTTTAAAAATTGATTAAAATATCCGTCTAAAAGAATATCCTTTTTGTTTTGGGATACTCTGTGTGTACGTATGTGTGTATATATATATATATATTTTATAACATAGTAAAATTTGTAATAAATCAAGTCTCATGAATGTGACGTTATAAAAAAATGATTGCTTAAATTCAACAATCAGAAGAGAAATTAGAAATTATAGAAATTATAGTTTCCTAAAGTAATGAAGATTAATGCGGAAGAAGACAAGCGTCGAAGTGAGAGCGAAGAATAAATAATACATGTAAATCCGCACTTTTTTACTTTCTTCGCAAATTTCAATCTTTCATAATATATAATATTCATAATATATAATTGTTCCATATTTTAACTTTTGAAAACTACATGAAGCTAAGCATTATTAAATGTATATAAAACACAAATAATTGATATAAAATTAATATAAAGATTAGAACTTTTTATCACTTATATCTAATACGGTAGAATATTTAACAATAAAAATGTGTTTAAATATTACAATAAAGATAAAAATAAAAAGTAGCGAGCACAGGATATTTTGCGACTAGACATCAAACATGCGTATCTGAGAAAAAAAGAAGATACATACACACATCAAGATACATACCTACTGATTGGCTTCGATCGGCAAAGAGTAACGCTGGAGAAACATAGATAACCTTCGTTACGGAATTTTTTCGCACGCGCGTTTGTTGGCTGTATATAGAAAATGATCCCGACTCTTTTATCAGCGACTGTTAGGCTCCGATGAGAACACGCACGTCGAAAATGAAAGCGGAAACGAGAGCGTACGATGTATAGTACGTAGCGTTTGCTCCGCTTGTGCTGCGCTTACGTAAAAGAATCACTGCGCAGAGAGAGAGCGTTATTCATTTCCGCTACCGCGATCATTGTCGGATGATTGCTGTAGAATAAAAACTGCCGTATTGCCACAAATGATGCCACAAAATAGCTGAGCCAGCGGGAGAAACAATAGGAAAATGTTTCGTATAAAATTCTACCTAAGTTTTTACGGAATGGAATGAAATCATCAGCGCGAACGAATAAAGAACATTTTACAATCTCTTTGCTTGAAAGAAATATCGCATGGAACATTTTTTATATTATTATATGACGTTGAGATTAAAAAATTTTACTGAGCAGATATAGCATATAGCTTCAACGATGAAAATGATGAAAAGAAACGATAAAATTAAAATCACTCAACAATTAATTTTAATAAATTATTTTAATAATAAGTATAAAGTAATCGCGAATTAAAAATCATGTAATTATGTCGATTGTCATGATGAGGTTCGGTTGCGATCCAGGTCCATGATTGATTTTAGAAATACGGGAGACAAGAAGATAAAGAGAAAACATGATATTCTTCGGGTTTTTCTCGTCTTCCTTTATTTTACAAAACTGAAAAAAAGAAAACTTTTGCGAGAGTAACAAACTTTTGGCTTATGTGACTAGTTGTAATACTTAGCGGCAATACTAAATTAGTGCAGTGTAAGTATATACATTTGTGTTTACAATGTCCGACTGCGAAAAACCATACAGGCTTAGTTTACAGAGCAATTGTAGCTTCGACGATAATTTTTATCCTAATACAAGACTCCGTTATGCATTCACGAAGTGTTTCTATGCGATAAAGAAGAAATTCCAATTCTTATCTCTCTCTCTCTCTCTCTCTTGTACGAGAGAGAAAGAGTGTTCTCAGTGAGGAAATTAATACGACGCGGGAGGGCAGAATACCCGCCAAATAAAATCGATAAATTTCATCTCATCCTCGTAATTTCTCCACTCGGGAAGGAATTAATTAATCCGCCGGTATCAATCGTCTTAATTGCTAAAGATATATACGTTACAGAATGTGTAATAACAAGTTCGCGCATCCGTTCGTCACGAGCGGACGAGATTTCGGCGCACGCAAAATGACACACACACACACACACACACACACACACACACACACACACACACACACACACACACACACACACACTGCGCGCGCGCGCGCCTTCACTCGACATATCCCGCACATATCATCGATCCCCCGATCATCGGTATATCAGTATGCATCTTAAACAGAATAATGAATAATTTAACTTACGGATTATAGGTACGTGAACGTTAAACTACGTTAGGATAATGTTCATAGTCTCTCTGTGGAAGACGCGGTATGGCAGGATTTTCCTTCCTTCCTTTTTTTTTTTATCTTTTTCTTTTCGTCTATTTATTTATTTATTAGGAATAAAGCTGTCTCTCTGTAGTGCAGGCCACAATCTTGGCTTTCCTCGTCATGAAAATCGAGATAATTGCGTTCTTATCAAGTCGACGTTTATTTTTCCCTTTGCGAAAAAACGATCGACAAGAACGATCCCCATTGACAGCCCCAATGTGATTAATACACTGGAAAACTACGAAGGCCTGACACGTAAATGCAGCGTGTTTACTTATATATCGGGATATATTTGGAGAATAATGTATTTTTATTTATCGAAGAGCGTTTGCGATAATAGCGATTATATTTTACAGAAATATTACTATTTAATTTTCTTTCTCTTATGTAACTTTTCATTTTGTAGTAATTAATTGTAATATATTATGATTTTATCTCATTGATAAGGTATCTCAATAGGGAACATTTATCGCTTATTTGCTGAAAGCATTCTCATATTAAGAAAATGGTGTGACGCAAAAAAAATAATTTAACGTTTGATATAATCAGGGAATCATCGTTCGATCGAATCAATAACGAAATTCAATCGAATCCTGAATGGCATGAGTCGTATGGGCATCGTGAGGAAGTGAGGAAATACGCACTGTACGCACATAAATTGCGCATAAATCTTAATAATTCATGTGAGAAATTACAAGGACGAAAGCCTAATGCGTTTTACATACAATTTTTTCTCTCTTTGAAAACCGCGGTCGTATTCGTTTCCATTGGAGGAGATTTCATTGTAAATCTTCGTCAACACTCAATGCAGACGAGAAGTCGTCGTAAACTTCAGTTCAAGCTCGTAAAGTTAATCGGAGATCGGACAGGTTCGTAAATCAATTCGCAATCGCTTACGCGAGTCATTACTCGGTTTTAAGATTATAAATGGCATGCGACTGCGTTTATCTTTCTCTTCCCTTTGAAATACGAGAAGAAAATATTTTTTTTTGTCCGCATGAAGCTGGCGCGCGAAATATTCTTTTTGCATAACAGGTCAAATGACGTTTTCTTATTTTCGTCAAATACTCCATACGAATGCATTATCTTGAGGAAATGCTCGAATGAAAGTAGATACTTACTTTTGCGACGAGATCGCCGATGCGCGGGCGCACGAAAGAAGTATTACAACGTAAAAAAAATTACAATGCGTAGGAAAAACCTTTAATTGTGCCACATTTTAATAATTCGCATGCCTATACGCATACGAATAGTATTCTGGCGATCGTAAAATTAATTTTCTTTTTACAACTTAAAACTAGATTCTCAAACGCTCAAACGCGATTCGATTAGCGAAATAATCTTATTCATATACGCAATCTATACAATTACATCCCTTTCGTCCTCGAATTTTACAAATGTAATTCTATTTAAAATTAATCTCTCTCTCTCTTTCATTCATTCATTCATTCACTCACTATCTCTCTTTCTCATGAAACTTCTTAAAACCATTACATACATTCTAAGAAGGAAGTAACATGCGTATACATTGTGGAATATTTTTCTAACAATTAGTCTGCTAATTGGCGAAAAAAGTAACAACAAAACAGAGAGTTAATCCAAAGAAATTCGCAGTGTATATATATATATATATATATATATGAGCTTTTGTGAGCAACGAGTCTTCCATAGAGTGTTTTAGGAAACATTGATCGCGCAGTTTGACATTTTTTTAATTTAAGCACATTGTTATTACCATCATACAATTTGCAATAAAAATTGGAATTATTAAATTGGAATATTTCATCAATTTATTAATTTTCGTTTACAGAACAATTAGCAATTTTTGGACAATTTAGAACTGAAAGATATAGAAACGTGTAATAGAGAAAAAATTTAATTTTTACTTTTGAAAACATATTTTTTTGCTGACTAAATGATTTTGATGTATGTTATAATGTAAAATTACAAATAGAGCGTTCCTTCGACAATTTTTAATAAAAATTACAATATATAACAGTATTAATTCAGGAACTTTACGAAATCGTGTAATGGTATTTTGCATGATTTCTCAATTCGCAGTAAATATCATAAATAAAACTTATTATCGTTCACGACATATAGTGATTCATTTCGTACAACATTTATTTATGTCACTCGATTAGAACCTATGTATGTCGGGTTTTTCTGTGCGTTTCGTGCACGGACGATTTGATCGATGCGAGGAAGAAAAGGAAAGAAACCATCGGAAACGACGGTAGCGGCTAATTTAAAGCTAAAGTCTTCTGTATCAGTCCATTGGAGTTCTCATGCACATGTAAATTAGGTACATGATGCACGTGTGATCGTGACGTCAGTACTGCAACTAGTACGATAACTAACTAGTACGGAACTATTTCGGGCTTGCCAGTCCTCGCGCAAATTCTTTCTTGCAGTTCAAAACAATCCGAGAATCCTAGCCGATCTAATTCCAACAGATTCGGCTTGTTACAAATATAATATCAATAAATGTGAACGCAGAAGCGTCGTTTTTCTTCTCGAATCTTTATTCAAAATGGTTCAATCAAGTTGATTTTCAAATAAAGGCAAATTTTTGAAAATTGAACTTTAATTTACATTGACTGGAGAGTCCAAAATAATCAAAAGGTTTATATATATTTCTTAGAAATCAATTTCTTAGTAATTAATCGCGAATTTATGTCCGTTATTTTTTTCCTCCTCTTGTAATTTTCTTTATAAAATATACATATAAAAATGTCGTATAAATAAATTTCATTGGATTCAAACGACTGACGCTTAATGATGTAATCGCAGTTGTAGTTGGCAATTCAGCGAGAATAAAAACGCGACAATTCGCGTACACATTATTCTGTTATCTCATTCAATTGCCGAGAAAATCGAATTCGTCGGAATTATAGTGGTTTGAACTCTGGCAAACTGTGAATGTTAATGTTCGTCGAAATTACGCTATTCGAGAAATGCGAACGTGCCCATGACGAGAATTAAACGATCGATACGACGGAACCAACGACATATATACGTCGAGCATTCTATTCATAGAAAACAGAAGCTGAACTCAACGGTTTTAAAACGGAATGAAATTGTTCGTTTCAGTCATTATCCTCTTCGCTCTGAACAGCAAGAGCATCACTCTTGTTGTCTTTGTTCATCGCGTACGCGTTACAGCTACATACTTTGAAAATGAGAGCACGCAAGAGAGCGTATAAAAGCATGTAAGAGAATAGATAGTATTAGTAAAAAAAAAAAAAAAAAAGAAAGTATGAAAAACTAGGTATGAGAAAATTGATCTGTTCGAACAGACATGATTTTCCCATGACTTGAAAACATGTAAAATGTGTATATCAAGCTGCGGTGTAAGGAATGTTATATCACTGAACATTCCGCATTATTTCAATATGCACTAAAATTGCACTAGGATTTTCAGACTTAAAATTAATGGCAGTTTATTTGTTGTATATATGTCATTGGATGTGAAACTGATTTCGTCGCGAATTCAATACAAGATGACAATAATTACGAAAATAAATTAATCAATTTTCTTTTCTATAAATATAAATACACGATTTGTTACAGCTATGAACTTTCGTGTCATCTTTACGTCATGGCGTTGTTGATATTATATGTCATCGTGCACATATTATTTCTCGAAGCAAGTAACACTAACGAAAATAGGCTGGAGAAACAAAGTTACTCCGCGAAGTCGCTCCGATTAAATGGGCTTAAACGACTAATCGTTAATTATTATATATGTACTTAATTATGTATGGTTAATTAACTAATTAAAGTGCCTGTACAAGTGACGTAACGCGATACGTCGCGACGGGGGAGTTACGAGGGAGAAGAATTTTAATAAATACTCTTTAAATTACAATCTTACGCGATCCAGGGATTTCCTGGCGTATACATTTAAAAGTTAAGATATAACATCTTTTCCGGCAATTACATCGCAGGTGCTCATACGACGCGTGTATACAATACAAATCCACGTTAATATAATTGTACGTGCCACTGTTAATATATTATCGATAACGATTATTAGTTGCAATTGGACCATTCGAGACTCATAATCATATTATAGGTATGTAGTAATGAGTTGTTAATTCGCTAACTAAAGGCTTCTTGAAATGCTGCCAAATCAGCAGGCAAAATATTGAGACAGCTGTATGCCTGTTCCAGTCGCGGCGCTATTATCAGGGACAGAAAAACAGGACGAAAATAAAAGACGATCGAAAATTGTTCCTTCTCGCTTCCGTTCCTCCTTTTGAATCTTCTCGTCGCCGCTGTACGCTCTCGATATTTGTGAAAATTTCGAGGAAACCTGCGAAAATCCCGATCCCTTTCTCCCCTCTTGCCTTTCTCCACTGCCTCGCCTCGTAAGGCGTTCTATTTAAAATGATTTACAAATAGACTATCTATTCGCCTAATGTTTCTAATTTTTCTATATGTACACGGGTTGCATTGACACGATGATGGTAAGGAGCTTCAGATTCCTCTTCCTTTTCTGTTTTTTTCTTACACGATATTAGAAAATATATAGGTCACAACGATATCGCGCGCTGCTCCTTTCGACGTGCGAGGGATGCACAATGAGGGATGTGAAATGAGTCGCGAGAGGTATTCTACCTATTCTATGCTACGATCCACGCGATTATTGAGCGATTTCCTACGATTAGTCAGAGGGGGAAAAAAATCTCCGAGTATTTAACCTACACTATATTTTTTCACGATACGAAAGACAAGAAGCGGCGATACGTCCGTAGCGATCGCGCGATTGCTTGGGGATTGTGGTTGTTGATATATTTGGGTTCGCCAAAACGGCGGGTCCGCGGCGCGAATAAATATTTCGCTTTATTACTAGACAACTAGCCGGGGTAGGAATAGAATAGCTTTACTCCGTCGGAAAACTGTGCGTCGGGAATAAATAAATTAGCTTCGTCGAGATGCGTAACGAGGATAGGAGCGGTAATTGGGATAAAATATCTTTGTTTCGCAGATTAAGCTCACAAATTGTATCGGACGCGCGTTCATTCGGCGGCAAAAGGCCGATGAAATTGCCCCATGAATTATTATTCGCAATTTTTCCAACGTTTTTGAAATTCATTGAACATCGTATTATTGAGTGATAATTCATGTTTCCTGGTTCAGCGATCGTTTCCTCGTTTTGCTCGCAAGCCGACGCAAACGCAAAGCGGCTCGAGCGTGATTTGAATTGTGGACGAGTGCATGCAGCCGCACGGAGTGACTCGGAGCGAAACGTGTTCGGCTAATTAGGATGACGCATGTACAACATGATTAATCGCGTTTTGCGAGAGTGACTAGGTACGTGCGCGTGATTTGCCTACCTTCGAAGGGACAATTGCGATTGTAGCGATAAAGCGGGATAGAAATGAGAGACGCTGACTCGACGCGAATCTTTGAATTGCCTTCGCACGGCCGGATGATTCATACGATCGACATTCTTATTATCAACGCGCCGCGCGTTAGATCTTTCTTTCTTTTCCTTTCCTTTTTTTTTTTTCTTTCTTCCTCTCTCCTCCTCTTTTCGTTTCATTCAATGCGCGTCTCAGGCCGGCTCGGTCTCTTGGTGGATCTTGAGCGTGATCGATGATCGGCTGGATTAAGCGAGAAAAACTGAGCAACTTCGCGACGCGAAGGCGAAATTTCAATAAATATCTGGCTCGTGAGTATAAATAATTCAGCGACTCTTAAAAATGATGATCGCGAAACATACCGAGCTCTTTCCTAATATCCATTCAGTTATCGGTTCAACTGTTGCAAACAGAAAACTGCTTCTCTTATCAGGGAAGGATTCGTTCGAGAGAAAACTCCGACCTCGATCAAAGCATTCCTTCCACCGAGGGGATCGATACTCCCCTGTTTTCTCCCGTTTGAGACTTCCGGTGTATCGAGTAACGAAAATATCCGGCAAACAGAACCCCGCCTCCGTGTATTGGCAACGTGTGTGAAAAATCTCAAAAGATATTTCGAAACAGCGCGTATTAGGGCGTCGCATGCAGTAATTTTCGCACGTAATTTTCTATTTGAATTTCCATATTGTTGTCTGCCCTGATCAGTAATATGATGACCATGTATTGTTTGCGTTTCTGAGACTAATAAACGGAACTTGGAATTATTATCTAGGTCAACGCGGCACTTTCTGGAAATCCGATATTCGATAAAATGGGTTCGTGAGACTCGATTCAAGTAGTCGGTCGCTTTTTCAAGATGGAAATGGAAAGCATCTCGACCGAAATCAATCTTGTCGGATCGTATTGGTAGAAAGATTAGCAACAAAAAAAAAACGACACGAAATTACTTTTGCACTCCTCTAATACTTGCTACTTGTCGAGACGTCGAGAAAACGCTTGCCGTTTTTTTTTTTTTTTTTGCGAAAAGAAGACAGGAACATCATGTGCAATGATCTCCTATTTCCTGAGACCCTGATAATTATGGTGCGCCTTTATAGCGAGAGCTTCGTGGAAAAAACAGTCATTATTGTACGCGCGCGTGTGTGTGTGTGTGCGTGTGGTGTGTGTGCGCGCGCGCGCGCGCGTGTGGCGTGCGTGCGTGTATGTGTATACGACGCAGTACGACACGTTTTGCGGTCTCGAGGGAAAAGCGAAATCTAGCCTAAGAGCTATACAATACAATATAAAATATAATCTCTAGTAGGAATAAATATATACTTAAATATATATATGTGTATATATATATATATTGTATATATATATCTATATATGTATATATTACTTTTATAGCGATAGGATTATAACGTTATATAAGAGCATGAAAGTTAACTCTCTCAAATGTTTAAAACAGTTCGGTATATATATATATGTATAGCATAAATAAGTCTCCCGTATCGAGAGATGCTGCAGAATGATCATTAGTATATCTAAACGAGAAACGCGTCGTACTGCTCGTTACTGCCACTCGGGCGAAATCTCGAGATAAAACATTGAGAGCTGTTTTTAACTACATTAAATTGTACAATCGCCTAAACTTTATTAAGTCGTTACCGGATTATCTACTCTTGTTATACTCTTGTTATAAAACTTTATCGTAGCGAGAATGCTAATCGTATTGCTAAAGTGAACGCCAAACGCGTGGCTTTCTCTCCTGATGCATGATAGCGATCGAAAATATACGTGAATATATATATATATATTTATAATATGCAATAGGTGCTTGGCAATAGGTACAGGAGGCGAGCGCATAAATAATAATATCGGCTCCGAGTCGTTCCGAATTTCCCAAAGATCGCATTTGCGACCGTTCATTCACTTCTTTGCTAGAGAAACAGGCGTGCGATTATAAGCTCTGATCGCTTATGTTTTTACATTTATATTTTTTAGTTTTTACATATTTTTATTCTTTATGTTGTATAATTTATGTGCTCCGAATTACCGTTTATTCTTATTTACGCTTATCTCGCTGTGCCGCACCGTCGCGAACACGACGTCTCGAAATCGACGTGAATTTATATGGTTTTCAATTTGAACTCTATCATCGTGAAAACATCCACTAAACGTGCCATTCTCCGTTTTAATGTCGTCGAAAGAGTTAAACGAAAACGGGCGAAACAGGAATACGGCGTAAAATCAGAATCTACGCGCTTTACACGAAGTCCTTTTCCGCTACAATCCGGTTTGCGGTATCGCGCCGGACAAAGAGATTCAGCTGATATATATCACCCGCATGACGTTAACTCTCGGCTATTCAGAGAAATCGTAATCTGGAATTTAGAGTTCGGGATTACGCGAAGAGAGAGACCGGTTCCAGACACATCGCCGCGATGCGCTTCGCAATTAAGTTGGTCGTTATTACAAATTACTGTACACTCAGTCCTCGCGGTGTGCGCGATCCATTATTACTCGGACGAAGGGGTAACGAAACAGTTAGAAAGCCTATTTGCAAACTCAATCCCGGAGAGTTCATTCCGCGAAGTAGTTCATAGAATTTCGGGTTCTCTCAAAGTTTCGCGATTATCTGGCTTCTGGTTCCTTCTGAGACCGAGATCGAAACCACATCCAGATCCTGTCGCCATTTTCGATCCTCCGAAATGTGTCCACACATTCGTATTCGAATTTCGTATCATAATCAAAATACTTGAAATTCATTTATTGATTTCATTTATTTTTACATTTAGCACATGTTTCTTTTGATTTTATTTATTTTTTTTTCCCCTCGATGATGATTCTCTTTACCGACGCGCGATTCTTCAATCGAAATCTTCTTAAATGACGAATATATACGTTCGTTACACACTCTTTCGTTATTCTAATATCTTTCGCTTTCCACATTATTAAATACCGAAAAATTTTCTGTTCCCTCGCAGGGACAACGAAGAGGATGATAACTTTTATATTATACAATTATTTGGTAACGCGGATACGATATATCTTAAAAAATTCGATATTATACTTTCTTTTCTCAAAAGCACTTCTCTATTATTTTCTATACCATGCTTTTTCTCTCTGTTTCTCTCTGAAACTTCCAGAAAGGAGTTTGCGTAGATACTATCGAACTGGAACAAATCTTGCTTCTCGAAGAGTTAAAAATATTTGTACTATAAAAAGAATAAGAAAGAGAAAATTAAAATTATTGCATTAAATGTAGATAGAAATACTCGCAACATGGATAGTGATATATATATATATAT